TCACTTTGCTGTAGTATTCTATAACCTTTTCTTGACCATCCTGTACTTGTGATAGCACGGCTCCAATTCCGATGTTACTCGCGTCTGTGTCCAAAATAAACAAGCCTCTCTCTTGTGGGAACCCCAAAATAGGACTCGAACAGAGGCCAGCCTTCAATTTCTTGAAGGATTTCTCACATTCTACAGACCAGTTGAAGTTGACTCGATCTTCTGTCAATCTATGGAGTGGTGCCGCAATATCAGCAAATCCTTCCACAAAACGACGGTAGTAAGTGCACAATCCCAAGAAACTTCTAACTTCATGTTTGTCCTTCGGTCTTGGCCAGTCTCGAATGGCTTGAATCTTTGTCTCGTCAGTTTGTATTCCTTCTGACGTTACCGTGTGGCCCAAGAAATCTACTCGTTTCTGGAATAGTGAACATTTCTTCAGGTTCAGTTTGAGGTTGGCATTCCTGAATCGCTGGAAAACTTCCCGTAAGTTCTTCAGGTGTTCCTCGAAATTCTTTCCCATGACCAAAACATCGTCCAGATATACCAGGCAAGTTTTCCAAGTGAGCCCACGCAGTACCAATTCCATCAGACTTTCGAAGGTTGCTGGGGCATTACATAGTCCAAAAGGCATCACAGTAAACTGGTACAGTCCATTACCAGTCGTAAAAGCAGTCTTCTCCTTATCTTCTTCGTGAATGCCCACTTGCCAGTATCCGCTCTTCAAGTCCAGTGTCGAAAACCATCGAGAGCCAGCCAATGTAGTCAAAGTGTCATCAATCCTTGGTAACGGGTAGCTATCCTTCTTGGTGACGTCATTGAGCTTCCTATAATCCACACAGAATCTTATGGATCCATCCTTCTTGGACACTAATACAACCGGTGCAGACCAAGGGCTGGATGATTCTTCAATTACCCCATCCTTCATCATTTTGTCAACCAGCTGTTCCACCTCCTGTTGCTTAGCAAACGGCATTCTTCTTGGTGGTTGCCGAATTGGGTGAGCTTTACCAGTATCTATTCTGTGCTTGACCAAATTCGTCCGCCCTGTTGATGTTGATTCAAAGATATCACTTTCGTCTGCTATGAATTTCTTGGCAGCTTTATATTCCGTTGGTGATAAGTGGTCCAAGGAGGTTTCCAGAACTCTCAATGCACTGTCATCTCGTTCCCTCCATCTCTGCTCGTTAGTCTCATCACATTTTGCTACCCAACTGACTGGTTCACAAGCTCCGATGATGTCTCCTTCCCTTACTGTTATGGTGGTAGGTAACACATTTGCTACCCTCACAGGAATGTCTCGTTCGGTGGTCACTAAAGCTCGGGCAAGTAACAGCTTGCTGGGGGATTCCTCACATGACTGTACTAATCCAACGCAGCACCCAGGGTCCTCTTCTAATCGCGCATGGATGATCTTCTCAGTGAATCCAGGAATTCTCACAGTCTTCGCTAGTCGTAGCCTCACAGACGTCTCCCTCTCGGCCGGTGTCGTTAGTACAAACTCTTCTCCTCCAAATTTCATGGTCTTCTGATCACTGTCGAATGAAAACCCGTAGTCGCTTATCAGATCCATGCCGAGGATAAACTCATCTTCGATATCAGCGACGTATACCATGTTCACTAAATGGAGTCTTCCAATCGTCAACTCGATATCAGCCATCCCTCGTATAGGTGCATTTTCTCCAGTGACCGTACGAAGAACAAAGTTGGAAGTGGTTGGTTTTATACTTCCAGGCCGGAGAATGTCACTGCGTACCAGGGAAACTGATGCACCGGTGTCTATGGTGCAGGTTACATCCATTTGGTTGATTTTTCCTTTGATGGTCAGGCTATCAGTTGTTCTTCTTATCCTTTTGATGTTTATGACCCTGGGGGCTTCGTTATTGCTAGCCAGCATGCGCCCCGATACGCTGGCTAGTTCTAGTTTTCCTGGTATCTATCTGAGGACTCACTAGATGACCTAGTCCTCGCAGGTGAGTACGACCGTAATGGCGTCCTTGCAGGTGAAGAAGATCGTGGTGGTACTCTCACCTTACAGTCCCTTATTAGGTGTCCAGTTCTGCCACAGCGATAGCAGGATCTGTTTCGCTGGTTGCTTGACCCACTCTTAATTTCTTCGATCGAGTTCTTCAGTTCTTCAAACATTTTTCCTAACATTTTTGCCAATGGGTCCACGTGTTCGAAAGGCTCTTCTATGGACACAGCTCTCACTTTTGGCCTAGAGGTGTTGAATGCCGCTTCTACCTCCAGAGATCTTACAAGGGCTTCACTGCTCCTCTTAAAGTGTGTTAGCCTCAGAGTCTTCTGTATTTCTGAGTCTCTCAGCCCGTCGATGAATACCTGCACCGCCAGTTGTTCTTTGAAGTTCTCTGGTGCCTCTGGGTACGCTAATTGAGTCAGTCTTCTCACATCTGCTTCGAACTCCTGTAGGCTCTCTCCAGACTTTTGCACACGATTTTTCATCTGAGCCCGGTAAAGCTGTTCTCGATGTTGGTCTCCATACCTGAGTTCTAGCGCAGCCACTTAATCTCCGAAGTGGTTTTGTTGTTCCACTGGGATCGACTGTAACATCCCCAAAGCTGGTCCTCTCAGAGCTACAATGAGTGCAGTAGCTTTTTCCTCGTCACTCCACCCATTTGCACTTGCTGCAGCCTCAAATTGTCGGCGATACATAGACCAAGGCGACTGTCCATCAAAAGTTGGTGGTTTCACGGAAGAACCCGATGTGGCAACCCTGTCACGACGATCTTGACTTCGTAGCGAGGCGATCTGATTCGCTACATATCTTTTGATTGTATCGAACATGGAATCTATTCTTGAAACTTCCTGGTTAAGCTTGTCGTCAATTTTGGTGAAATCTGTCTTCAACTCATCTATTTGCACATCAGTTTTATGCAGAATTTGTTCGAAGAAGATTTTCTGATGTTCTCGTTCTTTTTCTTGATGCTCTAGAATTTTCTGTAACTCTTCTTGACGACGTTGCTCTTCTTCTAATTTTTCCTCTCGACGACGTTTCTCCTCCTCTTGTTTTTCTTTCTGTCGTCGTTCCTCTTGTTCCGCGAACTGATTTTGCATAAATTTCAAAATGTCTTCCATCGCGTTGTATGACGTACTCCTTGTATTCACCATACGTCTTCAAATGTCCTCGAAAAATCCACACTTCTGACACCACTGTTACGATTTTACTCTGGGTCCGTAATAACTTAACACTCGGTATAACACTTAAAACGATTTATTCTGTACACTACTATACAATAATAACAATACTCGTACTAAACACTTCCGATTCACAACACTTCTTCGATCGTTATTATAACGCTTCCAAATAAAGACTTCCTTCCTGTCCCTAACAACATCTATTTATATTACCTAATAAAACGTCTAGATTCCACTCGAAATATCGTGAACAGGTCGATAATCTTCTCGAGTCATCTCAATAGCCGTCGAATCACCTAATTACTATTCCAAGAAATATGGCTTGTTTACTTCCCGTTCCCGCAGGTAGCTGGGATCGATTGCCAGGGTCGTAACACAAGCATATTTTAGAATAATGTTCATGCTGTTAATACTCGGAAAGTTATTTACATTCTAAAATGAAATCTTCCGCTTGAGCACCCTGTATAAGCCCATAATCAGCTGATAACAGAGTTGGGAGTTCTAGAAAAACCGGTGTTTTTTCTAAAATACATTGAACGTTCAATAAAGGGCCCTTAAATAATTATAATTATTAAGTGATCAAGTGCAATACTTGGAAAAATGAGGCAATATTTTTTCTCTTTTCAAGTTTTCCACAATGTACCTACATACATTACGACTATTCTCAGAGCGATGAAAGATTATAGACATGCCTTCTCTATCCCTGTCTTGGAGCGAACATATCGGGCTTGTTTATTTACGCTTTTATCATGTTGGTATCAGTGGCGGCTCGTGACTTTCATGACAGAGGAGGCTGAATGATATGAGATTTATTGTGAAAAACAACTCTCTACTCACCCAAATCGATAGCTTTAATGACATTCTGTTTACCAGTTAACCTGAACTTAATACTTGAAGAGATCCAATCCGCGAGGCAAATTTTTCAAATCATTATATCCTAATCGCCCCCAACATGATGACTTATCGGTTGAAAATAATACGCAGTACCAACAAAATAGCTTATTCCTTACCTCAGATCCCGTCGACCAGATATAATTTTATAATTATCAGAATTGAATGAACGATTTTGTTTGTTACCTGTTACAATCAGATTTTTTAATTCCGGTGTCGGACGTTTGTTTTTCACAATCAATTTATCTTCATAAGACAAAGCACTGAATGGGTTCACCAAAAAGTATTCCACTGAATCGCAATCGTTTAAAACACTCATTTTTCAGAAATTTATAGAGCCCCTAACCATTAACCTAACATAAACATAAACAATGCACTCGCGTTTGTCCGCAATTCGCGAAGCGACACGACGAACACGTGCTATTCGGGCATTCGCATTGCGCGCGTAGGTTGCGCAATGTGGAGGAGTCTAGCCTCCTATAGATGTTGCCAAGTTGAATATTTTACGCGTGATTTGCAGACTTCAACGTGTGATGCGTGGGCAAGCACTGTTGCCAATTCAAAAATATTTAACTAAAAACAGGAAATAAAATCAAAATCCATTTATTTTGGTATCCTTTTAATGAGAAAGTATAAATAATATTAGTTTAAGGAAAATCTCTGAGGAGGCTCAGCCTCCGTTGCCTCCTCTGAGGAGCCGCCACTGGTTGGTATCCTGGGTTCTTGGATCAAGTCTAGCTTCTATATGTTTTATTGCTTTGAGCTACTAGTACACTCGTCAGAGAACATGGTGTATGTATGTATGTAGCTCTCTTATTGCAGCGGTGATTTAGGAAGCTGGCATCGTGCATGCGTGACTTATTTACCGACTGTTCATTTGTTCACCTTTAATGTATTATTTTTATTATTTTGAAACATTTCTATTTGAGTTCACGCCATTTAAGTGAAGACATATTTTCTTTCAGAACGAATCTGAAGATGATGAAGAGGATTGGGTGACCAAAGTGGAAGATTTGGCAGCTCAGGTGAGAAGAACTAATAGAATGTGGAAAAACAAGATGGGGAATTCAGATTATATGGTGACCAGGGATCCTAAGAAATGACATGCAACTTCTGAATTTATTTACAAAATGATCAATAATAATTTTATATGTGTGAATTTTTTGTACTAAAATACTCGGTTAGTTGCCAATTATTTATTATACTTTAAGTTTTTTTACTTTGTATGATACATTGAGTGATTTTTGTCTTGTCTAAATCACTGTTTTTTATAAATATACAATCACATAACAATTAATTAAATATCATTCATTATTTTTTTCATTACAAAATATCACTATGAGTTCTCTCAATATTTTAGTCTCAAATTGTTGTGATAGCTGCCACTTGAATTGTCTGGTTATCTGATGTTCTGAAAATAAAAAAGACATAGTTATTTATGGTAATGGGGTAGGAGAAAATGTGGAACTTCATGGCAAAGGAAAAATTGAAATTTGATTAACTCTTGAAACTAACCAGGAATATGAAATTATGTCACTGGCAAAAATATACAAACGTGTGTAGTATTTATTGCAGTGTAAAATAAATTAACCATGATTGTTTGGTTGGTTGGTTCATCTCAATCTATTTGTCAGTAGTTGCTACGGTTTAATTTTCCGTTACCTCCATATTCTGATATAAACAAGGTAGAATTACTAAATTCTGAAATTCAGAAAATATGTTGAACATAATACAGTGTGTCCCACTTACCATGCTCACCATGGGTATCTTTTTAACGGTGAGAGATACGAGGTCGGTTAAATGACACCAAATGTGGAGTTTGTCAATGCCAACTATAATGTGAAAATATATTTTGATAAAATCTATTCGTTTTTGTTTTATACGCAAAAAACAGATTTTGATCATTTTCATGTCTCCTCTGTAACTTCTTAATTTATGAAAATATTCAAATAGGAATTTCACATTTTCATGGCAGTTTTTCAAAGTGATTTCGAAAAAAATATGAAATTTATACCAACTCTTCTAGAATTTGAGATATCAGCACCAACTTCAGTTTTTCAAATGTAAAACAGATTTTGATCATTTTCATGTCTCCTCCGTAACTTCTTTATTTATGAAAATATTCAAATAGGAATTTCACATTCTCATGGCAGTTTTTCAAAGTGATTTCGAAAAAAATATGAAATTTATACCAACTCTTCTAGAATTTGAGATATCAGCACCAACTTCAGTTTTTCAAATGTAGGTCATAGCTCACTATGACTTAGTTACGAATAACTTTTTTTTCTCTCACAAATGATGTGTCGCAGTAATAGTTTTGTGATGATAACAACGGAGTTATCGTCATTTATACAAAAACAAAAAAATATTTGGATGCTGCCATCTGGAATTTATAAATTTTAACAAAAAAATCATGATCTCCGACCTCAAAAACCCCCACTTACCAATTTTGAATGGAATCGGACCAAATCTTGTCCGCCATCTTGGAGAAGCCATTTTTTTTTAATTTCAACAAAAATTCCATAACTCCGATTAACTTGAAATTTGGCAGGTGTTCATAATTTCGGTGACGTTACATTATGGAATTTTTGTTGAAATTTAAAAAAATGGCTGCTCCAAGATGGCGTACGAGATTTGGTCCTATTCCATTCAAAATTGGTGAGTGGGGGTTTTTGAGGTCGGAGATCACGATTTTTTTGTTAAAATTCATAAATTCAAGATGGCTGCCTCTAAATGATTTTTTGTTTTTGTTTAAATGACGATAACTCCGTTATCAACACAAAACTATTACTGCGACATATCATCTGTAAGAGAAAAAAAAGTTATTTGTTACTAAGTCATAGTGAGCTATAACCTACATTTGAAAAACTAAAGTTGGTGCTGATATCTCAAATTCTAGAAGAGTTGGTATAAATTTCATATTTTTTTGGGAATCACTTTGAAAAGCTGCCATGAGAATGTGAAATTCCTATTTGAATATTTTCATAAATAAAGAAGTGTTTTTTGCGTATAAAACAAAAACGAATAGATTTTAGCAAAATATTGTTTCACATTCACACTATAGTTGGCCTTGACAAACTCCACATTTGGTGTCATTTAACCGACCTCGTATCTCTCACCGTTAAAAAGATACCCATGGTGAGCATGGTAAGTGGGACACACTGTATACTCTGTATTTGATGTTAACGTTTATAATGGACTAACTATTGAGTTTTGGCCTGCGGCACAGTTCGATCGTTGTTTAGATAACATAGACTTATTGAAATCAAACAGTGGTTAATTTGAATGTAATCGAGTTACACAAAATTGCTGTTACAGATATTATCACCCTGTATTTTGTTTTGCTTTGGGATCAAGGAGTTTAGTGACAAGAGAGACAGGAATAAATGTTATAAATAGACGTATTGTAATATTTTCATCTGCAATACAGTTTTTCGTTTATGAGTCATTATTTAATTCAGCCTAATTCTATAAGACACTTATCAGCCATTTATAAGCCAAACATTGGTGCCGAAACCAGGGAACAGCAGGGAATAACCGAAAAATCCAAAATAATTATTTTGACATTAATTTCTGTAATTGTGTCAGAAGGAAATATACAGAAAGATGGATAATACATCTAAGAAATCGCCGTCTGTGAGTGATTTCAGAGGATTCGAAAGATCAGGAAACTCTAAAGGTTTAGAGGAAAAATCTATAGCAGCATCAATTTTGAAGAAATCAAGTCAGTCAAAGTGCATAGATTGCGTGTCTAAATCGAGCAGAAGTAGTAAGAAAGAAAAAGCAAGAATTGAACTAGAATTACTTGAAAAAAATCTACAACTAGAACAAGACAAACTGAAGTTAGAACAGGAGATCATACAAAAGAAATTGAGTCTTCTGAAGATTAATAGTGAATGTTCAATTTCTGAAATGAATGAAGAAGGCAAGTCTCATTATTCACAAACATCAGCAGATATTCAGAAATGGATAGATGATATTCCATCAAATTTGAATGAAGAGCAGATAGTAGAAAAATCAGCAAGTTCTGGAAACAATTCTTTGGATGTGCAGAAAATCTTATTCCGACTGTCATCGGCTTCTAAAGAATTACCTTTTTTTAGTGGAGATCCTATGGAGTGGCCAAGCTTCATAATGTATTTTCAGGAAACTACAGAAACATGTGGGTTTTCCAAACGAGAAAATATGTGCAGATTACAAAAATCATTGAAAGGGAAAGCAAGAGAAAGTGTCCAGTATTTATTGCATTTTCCTGAATAGCTGGAGAAAGTTTTGAGCATATTGGAAAGAAGATTTGGAAGGCCAGAACATATTATTGAAGAAATTATAGAAAAAATTAAGCATATGCCTTACATAAAAGAATATAATTTTGAATCTTTGATTGATTACACTAACAAAATTTTAAATTTAGTGGCCACAATTGAAAGCTTAGATTCCATGGGACATTTAATGAATAGTCAACTTCTTAGTGAGCTTGTCAATAAGTTACCTCCAAACCTTAAACTACAATGGGGCATGCATAGGAATACCCAAAATGTTGCTGATTTGAAATCATTCTCGCTATGGTTGGAAGAAATTGCGAATGGAGCAAGTTTTGTGTCAAGATCGAAATTTTATGGTGATAAGGCAGCAAATTTCAGACAAACAAGCTTAGTAACTTCTGATAATACCTTCAAGGACTGCATTTACTGCAAAAATAAGAAGTTTAAGCATTCGATCACAAAATGCAAATTTTTTTCCGATATTTCTGTGGATGATCGATGGAATTGGGTGAAAACAAACAAAATCTGTTTTGCATGTCTGAGGCAAAATCACCAGATACAATATTGCAAACAGAAACGTGAATGTGGAGAAAAAGGGTGTAAGAAATTTCATCATTCCTTATTGCACACAAGTAATCCAACCGATTTTGAAGTACAAGAGAAGGAAAAACCTATAGAGGAAAAATCAGTAAAAGGAGAATTAGCTACTACAAGTCATGGTACAAGAGGCCAAAATCAAGATATGAAATTTAATGCTACACAGTGGACCAATAAGGAGGTTTTATTGAGAATTGTTCCGGTTGTTTTAACAGGGCCTAGTGGAAATCAAGTAGAGACTCATGCACTTCTGGATGAAGCATCTACAGTAACCTTACTAGATGCAGATATTGCTGTGAGGTTGGAATTAAATGGACCTATGAAGCCATTACACCTACAGTGGACAAATAACCTTTCCAACTACATGGATGAATCACAAGTAGTCTCAGTAAATATAGCGGGCGTTTCCACAGGATGTAAAAGTTTTATCATGCATCAAGTTCGAACAGTTAAAGATCTTTCTCTGCCGTCACAAACAGTTGACATTGAAAAACTCTCTGAAAAACGGCCCTACATAAGAAATGTCCCGCTAAAATCTATGATGAATGCTACACCTACTTTATTGATTGGACAAGACAATTGGCCATTAACAATTCCGCGCAGCTATATTCAGAAGAGATGGAATGATCCTGTATTAACAAAAACCTGGTTGGGATGGATAATTCATGGGCAGATATCATCTTGTCAAGTTGAAAATAAAAATTTTTATAGTTGCTTTATTTATAATCTTGATAATCACGAAGATAACCTGTATAATTTAGTGAAGAAGTCATTTGAAATAGAGGATGCTGGATTGAGTGACGAAACAGAGATATCATCTGAAGAAGCTTATGCTCAATCATTATTAGACAAAACTACTAAAAGAATTAGTGATACTGAATGGGAAACTGGACTTTTATGGAAGAAGGAAGCAGCGGTTTTACCACCAAGTCAAGAATCTGCATTGAGAAGACTAGAATGTGTTGAAAGACGGATGAAGAAGGATGCAGTATATGCAGAAGCCTACAAGAGTAAGATACATGATTATATCGCCAAAGACTATGCTAGAAAATTGCCAATAGATGAGATTGAGGAAAATAATGAAAAAAATTGGTACTTACCTCATTTTGCGGTCACAAATCCTAACAAACCCGGTAAGATTAGGGTTGTTTTTGATGCCGCTGCTAAGTCTTTTGGTGTTAGTTTAAATGACAATCTATTAGCTGGACCAGATTTGTATAATTCTATTCCGAAAGTTCTATGGAAGTTTAGAGAGAAGAATATTGCCTTCTGCGCAGATATAAAGGAAATGTTTTTAAGAATAAATATAAGAAGTGAAGATGTATCAGCTCAAAGATTTTTTTGGAGAGAAGACCCAGATGAAGACCCAGACACGTATGAAATGAAAGTGATTCATGAACACTTTTCCAAAAGCAGCAAATGCCATCATAAATAATCATTACATGGATGACTATTTGGACAGTTGCGAAAATGAAGAAGATGCAATACAGCTGATTCAAGAAGTTATCCACATCCACTCTAAAGGTAATTTTACTATCTGTAACTGGAATTGCAACTCACAATCAGTTTTGGAAACAATTCCTACAGACCTGCTTTCTAGGAATAACAAAAACTTAAATTTAGAATCGGACGTTTCTTATGAACGTGTGCTTGGACTTCACTGGAATTCTAATGAAGACACGTTTTTCTTTGAACTGAAATTTCATAAAGTGAGACGTGAAATTATGGAAGACAACTTAGTGCCTACAAAAAGGGAGCTATTACAATTCATAATGTCCATATTTGATCCATTTGGATTTGTAGCCAATGTTGTCATTTTTGGAAAAATTGTTTTACAAGAATTATGGAAAATTAAACTTCACTGGGATGAAAAGTTACCTCAAGAATTTGAAAATAAGTGGAACAAGTTCAAAAGAGTTATTCTGAAAATAGAACACTTGCAGATAGATAGATGTTATTCTAAGCTGTTATCTGCAAATTCCTCAGTACAGCTTCATATTTTTTGTGACGCGAGTGATAAAGCATATGCTGCTGTAACATATATGAGGATACAGAATGACGAAGTTGTAGATACAGCTTTCATCATGGCAAAAACCAGAGTTGCTCCACTGAAAGAACTTTCAATTCCAAGGCTCGAACTACTAGCAGCGTTATTGGCAAGCGAGTTATTCAGATTCATCAATGAAAATCATTCTATGAAATTTTCAAGGGTGTACCTCTGGAACGACTCTAAAACCGTTTTATACTGGTTGAAGAATAACTCACTAAGACTCAAACAGTTTGTATCGAATAGAGTGAGGAAAATTAGAGAACGTACAGATACAACATGGTGGAAATGGATAAACACAAAAAATAATGTAGCTGATGAAGGCACAAAGTGGACAGTAGAACCAAAAGTCAATGCAGAAAGTAGATGGTTAAAGGGGCCAGATTTTTTGAAATGTCCTGAATCAGAATGGCTATGGGAAGACAACCAGGAAGAAAAGGAATTGGACCTTCTGGGAAAACTGGAAGTAGAAGACTTCACTCTTACAATAACTTTGAAGAACCCAGGTGTAGCAAATGACGCACTTCCTTGTATTGAAAGGTTTTCTTCATGGCAGAGATTAGTACGTGTTACAGGGCAGATAATATATTTTATAGAAAGGAGCAGATCCAAGAGGACCTTAGTAAGTTCACAAATAACTGACATTGGATTGAAACCTAGACATCTGAATCAAGCAGAAGAGTTGTGGTGGAAAGAAATCCAGAAGATGTATTTTTCAGAAGAAATAAAGAGTTTGACAAAACATGAATTCGTAGGAAAAAATAGCAAATTGTATCAATTAACTCCTTTTCTAGATGGAAATAATGTATTGAGAATGAGAACTAGAATATGTTCAGCACAAGTGACAGAAAATATGAAAAATCCAGTTATATTGCATCCTGACCATCGTTTTTGCGGATTATTAGTTCAACATATACATGATACTTGTTGCCACCTTGGACTCGATTATGTCCTCAACGAGATCAAACAAAAATATTGGATTTTAAATGTTCGGCCACTAGTCAAGAGAGTTTTGATGTCATGCATTATTTGTAAGAAGAAAAGAAGCATGAAACCACAAATTCCTTTGATGGGAGATTTGCCCGAAGCAAGATTAGCAGCTTTTCATCGGCCTTTCACTCATACAGGCATGGACTTTTTTGGGCCGTTGGAAGTTACAGTTGGAAGACATAAGGAGAAGAGATACGGAGTTTTATTCACGTGTCTCACAACAAGGGCAGTACATATTGAAGTTGCTCAGACACTGAATACTAGTTCAGCTATCATGGCAATTCAGCGAATGGCAGGAAGAAGAGGCTCACCTACTCACTTATACTCAGATAATGGCACTAATCTGCGGGGAGCCGAAAAGGAACTGAAAAAATCTTTAGAGGATGTAGATAAAAACAAATTGAACGATGCACTAACCAACAAAAACATTACATGGCATTTTATACCACCAGCATCGCCGCACATGGGGGGTAGCTGGGAGAGATTAATACGATCGATTAAAACAGCATTTTACACGATTTTGAAAGAGAGGGCTCCACGAGAAGAAGTACTATGGACTTTATTAATAGAGGCTGAGTATATTGTCAACAACAGACCTCTCACTCATATTCCCATCGACCCTGTAGACATGGAACCATTGACTCCAAACCATTTTCTTATAGGAACCAATTCAAATCCTAACATTCAGGGACAATTTGAGGAAGATGATTTATGTTCAAGGAAGCAATGGAGGATAGCCCAATACTTGACGAATATGCTATGGAAGAGATGGGTCAGGGAGTATTTGCCAACACTCTGCAAGCGAACAAAGTGGCATAATCAAAAGACACCAGATTTAGCTATCAATGATATCGTAATATTGATGGAGGATAACACACCACGAAATAGTTGGCCTATGGGGTTGATAGTTGAAACATATCCTGGACGAGACGGTAGAATACGAGTAGTAGACGTGAAAATCAATTCGAAGGTTTACAAACGTCCCGTCACTAAGATTATACCTCTAATTACCGAAGAAAAGAATACTGTATAATTCAAATTATACGGGGGGGAGAATGTTACAGATATTATCACCCTGTATTTTGTTTTGCTTTGGGATCAAGGAGTTTAGTGACAAGAGAGACAGGAATAAATGTTATAAATAGACGTATTGTAATATTTTCATCTGCAATACAGTTTTTCGTTTATGAGTCATTATTTAATTCAGCCTAATTCTATAAGACACTTATCAGCCATTTATAAGCCAAACAATTGCGTTTCCTAATGTATTACGTATTTTTTTCTAATTCTGGCGAGAAAAATGTTCCCCAAATTGTTCAGATTGATAATTTCAATTAATTGAATTATTTTTTTCCACATGTCAAAATGTGACGTTTTCATTGTTTCAACCCATATCAATGCTTCATTCTAGCCAATCATTTGGTATCCTGATAATTTGTTAGTAGCAAATTACAGCGATATTTTTTTCACATTTGGATCTTTGTTTGAAATGGGGCCCATAGAGTGGATTATTGGTAGGCTATTTTGTTCGACAAACAAGTCTGTTCCAACAAAAATGACGCAAAATCAAAGTGTGAGACTGTAAAATAGTCGTTTTCGCTGGGCATTTTGCGAAATAGTCAGTTAAGTTTTATTCATACGGCAGAATATGGCGTTTGAGAAAAGAATATTGGATGACACAATGAACATTAAATCACCAGTTAGGAAAAATTTTACTTTACGTAACTGGTCACGTGAAGTAGGACGTTTCAGAATTTCCGTCATTTTTTCAAAATGTCATTACATATCAAAATTAGGAAAACGGCGTTTACGGGTGGGTATGTAGGTTCAAAGTTTTTTTATACACATGATTTCTTATATTCGATTATTCAAACATCAGATTTAAAAAATTCAGCTTCAGGATTGCCTGTATCAAGTTGATGTTGATAACACAAAATGAACATTTTTCGTTTTGTTGTATGCAGCTCGTAAAAAACAATTATAATTAATGTAACAAATTGCTATTTCACTATTTTACCGAACTTTTTTCAGCTCATAAATCGTCCGGAAGACATGAATTCCCAACCGGATGCTTCAGGACATTCATGGTATCAAGATTCGGAACTTACATTAATTCAGCTACTTGCACAGTTTCCAATTCATCTTTCGATTTTTCCTCAGCTGCGTGTGTATTCAGATGCAATTGTAAGGAACAAGATGAGACGAAACATTCATGACATATCTTGCACATGTAATTCTTCTCCCCGCCACCGCTGTCGGACCGCATGTGTACCTTTAGGCTACTGGAACTTGCGAACCTGAAAAAAAAATCATATTTTTTCACTTATAACGTTTTTTTAGTTGAAATTTCCTAAATGCAACAAGACTCGGTTTATAAATCTCAAGTTTTTACTTTGACCCAAAAAAAAATGCTCCAGTGTAATTCGGTGATACAATTCAATGAATACGTAAATCATACTATTGTTGGTGGTTTTTCCAATTTCTCCTCTCGAAGTCTCTCCAAATCGCGACATTTACACAATTTAGATACTTTTCTGACGACGCAAGATTAAGAAAAATTGACGCCATTAAGATTCGTTCACAATTCTGGTCATGGTTTCAAATAGGGTTTCACGAGACTCTCGAAATTCGAGATTTCTCGTCTCGTCTCGTCTCGATTTCGAGACGAGATCGAGACGAGACCACTAATTTTTTTTCGAGACGAGATCGAGAAATTATTTCGAGATTTCTCGATCTCGAAAAAAATTATGCGCTGCAATAACTCACAGCTCCAAGTACAGTTGTATTCAATAAAAAGGCGTACATGTATTAAAAAGAGAGGTCAACGTCATCCTAGTTCTAGTTGTGTAAAACTGGCTCAGCCAATGCTTTGTAGTTTTGACAACCTATGACAAATGTCAACATATGGTGAAAAATCATTCTCGATAGCCCGTTTTACGCAAATAGGATGACGTTAGCTTCTCTCTCTAATACTTGTACGCTATTTTTTTGAATACAACTGTACGCCAGAAAAAAGACAATGAAAAACTAAGCTAAGAAATAATTCCATAATTCATACATTAATTTGCGTTATATCGGGCTGTTCAAGAGACGACTGTTTCGATAATAAAAAAATTAGCTTGTGGTGCTGTTCACGAACGAAGAAACACTTTCAAACATTCACTTTTCGTACCTAGGTAAATTATAAATGTACCTATATGGATAAAAGATTGAATTCAAACATCAAGAATTCGTTCAATTTTCATTTTTTTGGGATAAATATTCTTTTGTTGATATTCATCATACAGGGCGTGGAAAGAAATTCTGAATTGATAAATAACAAGTTTCCTTCGTACAAGTTTGAATCTCTTGATTTGGATGAAGAAAGTATTGAAAAAGAATATTCTCAGATGTATATTAAACTTTGAAAAAATTGATACAAATGCAAATTCTCAAATTCAGAAGATTTTATTTTCAAATTCTCATCGTGTGTGTTCAATAAATATAATTCAATGTTCGTCGTAGCATACAGCCAGGAAAGTGGTTGTTTTCTGTTGAATATACCGAGAAAGAATTAATATTTTCATCACATAGAGAATGCGATTTCTCAATGCATTTCTTTAAATGCATCAATTTTTTTCATGCAATAGGTAAGTATATCTGAGAATATTCCTCTTTTCAATACAATATTTTTCCTTTTTTGCTGATGCTCGGCGGTTTGTTTGTTATACGTGGCTTTGAGTTCATGTATTAACATAATTCTTTTATAGAAAAAAATTAATAACCTGTATTTTGATTTAGCTCTGGCCTTTGTCTTCGAGAAAAACATCGAGACGAGAGTTTGTTAATTTCTCGTCTCGATGATCGAGACGAGACGAGAAAGTGCCTTCGAGACGAGATTTCTCGTCTCGATGAAACCCTAGTTTCAAATGTTAGATTCCGTTTTGTCCCTTATAATTACACCAGAGCTTTATTGTCCAAGTAAACTTGACATTTCAATGAGAATTTTGTTGCCTGGAAATATTAAACGAATAAAATTGCTTTTCAGTCCGTAGGACCGAGTAATTTTTTCTGGTAGTTTTTTGAGTTAAATTTCTTGAAGGCAGTAAAACTCGACCCTAAAAAAAAGGTTCGAGCGTAATTCGGTAAGACAATTCAATGAATGCATAAATCACATTATTGTTGATGGATTTTTCAACTTATCCACTCCAAATCTCGACATTTCTAAAGATCAGATACTTTTATGATAAGATTCGTTCACAATTCTGCTGTTATGGTTTCGAATCTTAGGTTCCGTTTTATCCCTGGAAAAGTTAGGGCACAGTTTTTTCGCTGTCACAATGACAAAATCACGGCGACTTATTATTTGGAGACGTATCCAATTGGTGTCAACTCATTCCGAGCAAGAAATTATTCAATGATATAACCCTGTCATATACAAGGTAAATCTTCATGAGTTAACACGATCTATTTATGTCGGCGTCAAACAGTGAAATCCGTCATTCTCTGGAATGCCTAGTCATTTCACATATTGCCGGCAAACAGCGTAACTCTAAATTTCGTACACCGTTGTTTAGAAGCAGTAGTCTCTTCTGTTATCTCAAGTAAATTTCTGAAAAATATACTTTCTAGCCTCCTTATGCATATGCAGAAAGGATATTTTCCTTTCTCAACCCTCCGGTAAACAGAGTAACGGCTGAAAATGGAAGTTACGCTGTTTGCCGACAATACGTGAAATGATTATGCATTTCAGGGAATGACGGATTTCACTAATTGACGCCGACATATACAGGGTGGACCATTTCAATCTATATATGGATAATAGTTCCCGGAAGCCGCTAACAAAAAAAATGGTTCAAACAAAAGTTGAAGGATTCAATGGGGGCCAAAGAATGACCCTACTCAAAACCCCCCTCCGGGGCCCCCATACGGCCCTGGGAGATGAAATGTTTTTTTTTCAATGGGAACCTTATTTTTTCACAACGGATTCTTGTTCTACAGAGAAAAACAAATTAAAAATGTCTCTAACAAATTCTTTTTTGAACCCCTCAAAGGGCCCCAAATTTTCAATTTTGGTGTTGGAGTTGCAATAACTGTTAGGCTCAGGTCAAACATAAGTGCAGTTCCAGCATATTACCGTGTTTTTAAGCAAACCCTTAATCTGGTTAACGAATTACATGCCAATGACTTCAACATCTCGTGACTTGACAGAAATAGTTATTTATACACCAAGGTAGTAAAGTATATAAGTATTACCCAGGGACCAAGATTATATCCCGAGGCTTCAGCCGTGGGGTATAAGGTCCCGTGGTAATAATATATCAATTTTCATGTTAGATTTTCAATAATAATCCTACGTTTACGGTAAAGTACATTGTATACAGTGTGTCTGAGAAAATGTGGGAAATCTCTCGGATTCAGATAGTCGCTTCGATTTCGAGGTACAGGGCGTTCAATTTGAATTTAAAAAAATGAGTTTCCTTCATTTACCGGATAATCACTCGACCTCAACACGAAGAAATAATATACCTATCAGTTCTACCAACTCGACCTCACGTCTCAATAATGCAAACTGGTGTACAATAAAACATGTTAGCCCTCAGTATATGGATAAATATAGGAGTATTAGAAAGACTGGCATTTGGCAACATCGCAGTCACGGAGACCAACGCTCACCGTTGGGCGCATCGCATAATGAAAGAATTCTAGCCGTATCTAGCGGAGATTAGCGAAGACGTAGGCTAGCCGAATATAGGGTCCCTTGATGGAAATTGACGTTAAAGTCATCCTAACAGGGTACGGACAGATCCTCGTCTCCTCTCACTCTAAAGTGTTTGTGAAACAGTTATATAGTTCCATCCTTATTCAATTCTAGGAAAAAACACTAGATTTTTGACATTTGTTGTTTTTTAGGTTATATTGAGGTCACTGGCGTATCATACGTAATTTCCATATGGAATTCCCGATTCAACTATACCAAGATATAGATGAACAGTCCTCTAGATTTAGAGTTTACTACTCCAGCATAATCTTTGCGAGGTAGGGAACATATAAATTGTACTGAAAGCTTAATATATTTCACTAAGAGAGACTGTTCTTAGACTGTATACTAGGGTTGACTGAATTGACTGAATGAATTCTGATTTCAAGCTTAGCAGAAGTTTATCTATCAGCTTAATGAGCTGAGCCTTATGATTGAGAAATGATGGGAACCGAAACTACTGTACTTATTCATGTGTGCTCAATATATTTTTGGAAATCCAGCTCGGTGAAGAATTTATGGAGTGACTAATATATATCACGTATATCATGTATAAAACTTTGTCTAGGACGAAAAGTAGGCTGATAAAAAGTAATACGTAAAATATGCAGGAAAATAAAGAATAGAATATACTTTACTCCCATGTTATACATATGATTTTTCCGTCCCCCTCAAATTAAAAGTCATTTTCGAACAATTGATTGATAAAAGTAACAAAGATGTGGGTATACGGAGTATAACTTATAGTCACGTTATTTTCACTCTTGCATCCTACATATTTTCTATTTGTGGTAGAGTAATAATCATATAAACTAATGTCTTTCGCCATATCGAATCCGCCATCTTGAATTTTCCAATTTTGACGAAACGATCATTATCTCCTACCCCGAAAACCCCCAGATACCAATTTTGAATAGAATCGAATCTTCATTACAAAACTCGTCCACCATAATGGATCCGCCATCATGAAAATCCCAATTTTGACGAATTACTTATAATCTCCTCCAATTTTGATTTTTGAATAGAATCGGATCATAATTACAAAATTCGTTCGCCATATTGGATCCGCTATCTTGAATTTCTCAATTTTGACAAAAAATCATAAAGTTCGACCCCGAAAACTCCCAGATACCAATCTTAAATAGAATCAGATCATAATTAGAAATTTCTTTCGCTATACGGGCTGATTCACGGTGGCAGCGCTGAGAATATTTCAGGTCGATAGAACACAACTAATTATTCAAGGCACCAACTTTTCAGAATGATCCTGAGTTGCGTTTTCCAGGAACGTCTAATGTACCATCCACCGTGAATCAGCCTGTATATTGGATTGGTCATATTGAATTTTCCAAGTTTGACGAAAAAATCATTATCTCCAACCCCGGAAAACCCCAGATATCTTCCAATTTTGAATAGAATCGGATCATAATTACAAAACTCGTTCGCCATATGATCTTCAACAAGTAAACACCCTGTACATACCTATTATTGAAATTTTGAATGATTTTCTGTAGCGCCCATGGATGTGACGTGACAGCAATGTCAGTGATGCCAGTAGACAAAACTAAAGTCTCTAGATCATTGAAAAAGAATGCAGCTATGATCTGTCCGTACCCTGTTAAGATGACTTTAACGTCAATTTTCATCAAGGGACCCTAGTCGAATAATGTTCGGCAAACAATCTGTATCATCACATCATAATAACTATACAGGGTGTTTCGAAATTCGACAACGCTTGACAGGTGATAGCCCTCGTGATTTCATGATAGATATGTTATTTTTACACCACATTTTCATCATTGATGGAAGCGATGCCACTCTCTGATGCATCGAATTGTTGGAGTCATCATTATTGAAAAAAAAAACGCAGTTATTTAACATGACAATCACAACGGTTTTCCTTTATTTGAATTGGCGAAAAAAACGTGAAATGGAAAATGATGTATTAGGTGTTATTGAAGTCCTTGTCTCCAGATCCAAAAGTTCTAGCATTTCTTCTGACAGTTCCGAGGATGAAATATTGTTTATGTTGGGGAGTAGACGAGATAGGTTGAAAATTCTCAACAACAACAAAACATTGCATTAAATTATGATGATATGGATAGCCTTTAATAAAAAGTATCTGTTGGTACTCAAGTTTCCTGAATATTTTTGCACTAATTTCTTGTACCTTGTAGACCTACCATTCGAAATGTCTTCAATTCCTGTTGGTGTCAATAATGCAGCTATTCTTTAATTTTCATATTCTAGGCTGATTTCGATTAATTCATCCATATTTTTTCGCAGTCAAATGGCAAACAGCTTTCAAATCCAATATTTTGTTTTTCGTTTTTTTGAGGTTATGCTGTCGCTGTTATTTCGAAATACACCAAAATTCGTCCACCATCTCTGTATATCGGTGGAATGGTTTGCAATTTTGGTTGACACAATAGTAATAAATAAACGCGTGGTTACGTCAAACTGGAATCCACCAAAGAATATATGAACGCAGTTGGTGGATTGATGGAGCCACCGGTGAATAAAAGAACGTCCCTATTTACTGACATAGAGACATACGGTCTTCAAGTGTTCAGTTCTTGTGATACAGAGGGTTGAAGATGATTAAAATAGTTTTTTCGCCCATAACTCAAGAATGATTGAATATTTTACATTCACATTCGCTATATGGTTTCATCTTTGAAGGGGTAATTTTTTTACCAGAAAGCCGTTCCGGGTATTGTATCCAGTGGTGCACCTCAAGGAGTTTTAGTAATTCTTCCACCTATGAACGCAGTTGGTGGATTGATGGAGCCACCGGTGAATAAAAGAACGTCCCTATTTACTGACATAGAGACATACGGTCTTCAAGTGTTCAGTTCTCGTGATACAGAGGGTTGAAGATGATTAAAATAGTTTTTTCGCCCATAACTCAAGAATGATTGAATATTTTACATTCACATTCGCTATATGGTTTCATCTTTGAAGGGGTAATTTTTTTACCAGAAAGCCGTTCCGGGTATTGTATCCAGTGGTGCACCTCAAGGAGTTTTAGTAATTCTTCCACCATATTTTCTACATCACTCATGAAATTCTGATTATTTCCAATTTCTCGAATTCATTGTTCAATTTTGTTCAAAAATGCATTACTTTCAACTGAGCTAAAATGAACAGTTATCTGGCCCGGATTTGCCACTAGGCCGACTAGCCACTAGCCTAGAGCAGCAAATTTTTATGGGCGGCAAATTTCCAGAGGCTGATGAAAGAGGGAAAATAAACTATCTATACTTTACCAATCAAAATAAAATTAACCAAATTTATAAGCGGGGAGCAGTCGTTTTCCACTCTACGCAGAATATGAACATATTTGAGGTAAGATGATACTTGTTGGAATTAATGTCTCTTTATGATTCATTCGTCATTTTTATAGGAATTTATCTGTATTTATCATTTGTTCTAGCAACATTTCTCATCGTTGACGCCGCATACTGTATGATGACCTAGTCATGCTATCGTCATCTAAAGGCGTTAGTTCCAATTTAGGGCCACACGTCATACACATCATGACACTGCCATCTATGGTCAACATGTGGAGACCCGTGCACCACGAGCGAGCGACGCCTTGCCGCACGAGTGGCACACGTGCGGACGCTTGCCGGTGTGCATGATGCATGCCGGGTAGTTCATATGAGCAACGTGATTACATTTTCGATGGTTATTTGATGGAAATGTGTCCAAATGAAGGTCTACGTAAATGGCAATATAGTGAACTAAGTGTTTAAAGAGACAATTGTTTACTGGTTCTGAAAATAAAACCTGATTTTCTTGAAGCAGTGTTCACCACTTCATTATTATGACTTCTAAAAGTAAGTTGAATATACAAAATTATGCCCTTTCACAGGATTATTTTGAATCATTGTAAAACTGATAGAAAATATTGAGGTCCAATATACCAACCCTGGACCAGACAATTAAGCTATTTAAATCAGATTGCACCAGATCCATAAGATGATGAATTTCTTTAAATATTTTCAAGTTATCTGCAAACAGCATAAAAACAGAGTGAAACATATATTTACTTGTTACTATGTAGATGACGAACGAACTAAAAGGTAAAGGTTCACAATGAGAGCCAGGAGGACTACTGACAATACTGAAATCGCATTATAATAAGACTTGATCCTCACACATTGTAGACGAACAACTAAGGAACTCTCAGTCCATGTCACCAAACTCAGATTTATACCCAATCTGGGTTTGGTTTTAGACTAAGCACTCATGCAAAAATCAATTGCGATAGCTTCTACATTCATTTGTTTCGCTTTCTGGCGTTTCCCTAGATTCCCTTGTTATTCACATAGGAGTTATTGCGTTTCTCAATATTTCCGCTCACGAGCGCCAATACTGTCAAAGAACGACAAGTCATGAAAAATGTTGAGTTTGTATTGAGATTTGAGAGTGTTGAAGGCTACTTTGTGAAGCGGTTGTAGAAATAGTATATAACACACCGAGGTGGGAAGTGATTCATTCCTGTCGTGAGATTAGTTAGTTAACCGAGACGCAATGCGTCGAGTCGGGAAGTGAGGGCGGGAAGTAGAGTTGTGTAATGTGACACTTCCCAACCTTCAATGACGTTATTATGACAACAATACATATATGGTTGTAAATAATAGTATATTACACACCGAGGTGGGGAGTGATTCATTCCTGTCGTGAGATTGGTTAACCGAGACGCAAAGCGTCGAGGTTAGCTATAATCTCGAGACAGGAATGAAACTCCCTACCGAGGTTTGTATACTATTTTATTTACAACCATCATATTTCGATCAAAATTAATGAATCTATGTTTCGTTCTGAACATACCTGAATAATTACAAGAGTGAGGGCGGGAAGTAGAGGTGTGTAGTGTTAGTAATGACAACATTACATATATGGTTGTAAATAAACATAATTTAACTCACTTTTTGCCGCACGACTCGCACTTGTGCGGCTTCTCGCCCGTATGCGTCCGCATGTGGCCCGACAGCAGCCCCGAGGACGCGAAGCCCTTGTCGCAGATGGGGCATACGTGCGGCCGCTCGCCGGTGTGCGAGCGAACGTGCACCACGAGCGACTCGTGCCGGCTGAACGCCTTGCCGCACGAGGGACACACGTGCGGCCTCTCGCCGGTGTGCACGTGCCGGTGGATGTTGAGCGTGCTGGAGCCGGCGAACGCCTTGCCGCACGTGGTGCAGACGTAGGGGCGGGCGCCGGTGTGCGTGCGCATGTGGATGCCCACGTAGCCGGATTGGGTGAACCTGCAAGGAGATAGAGTTGTTGGAAAGTGCATTGTGATGTAAGTGAGGGTTACCGAGGGGTAAACCGCGGTCAAAATTGTGTACATCAAAGGGCGTTTTCGGAATCTTACTCTGGGTTGATAACTCGATCCAGGTAGGTCAAGTGACAAAAAACTCAGTAAACGCGTTTATAAACTCTTCTAGACACTCGTTTATTAAACACTCGTTACTAAAAGGACGTTTATATCACTTGTTACATAATATACTATTACCTGTGGATTGGTGTACTTGTCTCATATGTGTTGTTGCACATAACCACAAACTTCACCCCTACCCAAATTCTCTTCTCAATGAATTACTTTAATCAAATTATGAATATTGAAACGAACATGTATATCACCGGTCGTGATATTTCCCAACATGCAAATTATTTTATCATTATATGTTATCGTCGAATGTAAACTCCCGCGTTTTTGATTGACTTAAATTACGTAATGCGCTCGCGGTGTCCTTTGCAACTCTGGCGACCCTGCTTTTGAGTAGTCAGTGATCGAGTTAGCATCATTCAAGTTTGGTTAACCGAACGTTCAGGTTAGAGATCCGAACAACCCGAGTAAGTTTCCGAAAATGCCTAAACTTCAATTTCACAAGAAATTCCAAGGAATTCCAGTTGTTTGTACACTAGAATTATACCGCACATCACACAAGTAATTCCAAGAAACTCCAAGGAATGCCAGGGCATTCCAAGGAAATCCAAGGAATTCCAAGGAATTCCAAGGAATTCCAAGGAAATCCAAGGAATTCAAAGGAAACCCAAGGAACTCCAAGGAAATCCAAGGAATATATAGGATTTTGAGGTATTCAAGAAAATATGCTAATAAAATTATTCTTCAGTGCCCTCTCACGGCTCAACGGTGCATTTACCTATAGAGGTAAGTTGATTTCCATCGGCCTATCAGGTATGTATTTAGTTCATCCTGTAGAATTTATGATGTTCAGGGACACTTGGGAGTACATTGTTCTACGAGACAGGTGACAGAGGTGATCTTTTTTCTAACTGATATGCCATTAAACGGTTGGTAAAGTTTCAGCTTTCATCATTTTTTTCATTTACATTGATAAGCTGCTGATAAGCGCTGTCCCGCGATTATGGTGGCAGGAGTGGATTTTGTAGATAAACTATGTTATTACAACAGATTAAAAAAATGAACCAAGCATTATCAAATAAGACATTGAAAAATGTCGCTGGTTCCCGGGCTATTAGACAATTTATTGAAAAAGTATCTTGCTTGTTTTGATTAATAATAAAAACGATAGTAGTAGTAAATGTAGAACTCACCTTTTCTGGCAAATCGGACACTCAAATGGTTTTTCTCCCGTATGCACCCGCAAATGCTTTTCCAAATTGCACTCTTGCGTGAAACCTTTGTTACACACACCGCAAACGTATGGGCGTTCTCCAGTATGAGATCGCACATGAATTCTCAAACTTCGGGCCTAACAAAGAAATGAAAAAAATTACAGAATACCGACAGTTCGTGTCACACTAAGGGCCGGTTTATCGATCATAAGCTAAAACTGCATGCTAGCTGACTGACAGCTAGCATTAATGCTGGGTTTATAGATTCAACTAAACTAAGAATTAAACTAATAACTATGAACTTGAAATACAAGGAAACATCTATGAGGGTTTATTCATTTACATCTGTCATTTAAATCAAGAATTGAGAATTACAAAGTTGGCCAACTTTCAACTTAACAAGATTGGATTTGTTATTGTTCCAAGTGGAGTTTGGTGATATTTAATTGTAATATTTTTATGGATTAATGAATTGTGGGGACCAAAATCACTTTTCAACATCATTTTGATCATTGAACAATTCTTAATTGATATGTATGTATGTATGTATGTATGTATGTATGTATGTATGTATGTATGTATGTATGTATGTATGAACACCCTCATGATTATTAATTGTTGATTGTTAATTCCCAATTGTTAATTCAATTGAATCTATAAACCCAGCATAACTGATAGTCAAAGTACTGTTTATCCACGCCATATTAAATTTCTAGCTGGGTAGTTCCGAGTTTTGAGAATGTTGGTAACCGTGATTTTCAAAAGATCTGATCTGATTGGTGGGAGAATTCTCTCAAAGGTAAACACTGATATAAGTATCTAGTTCACCAACATAGTTTTTTCTTTTTTTTCTGTCACCAGCTAAACCTCAGCCTCCTGGGCTTTTTGTGCATCCCAGTTTGGTTTTACAGTCTGTTCAGGTTACCGGTTGGCTGATATTTCATAACAGACATATATCACTCGTATCGTTTGACAATGAAATGAACCAAATTCTTATGGAGGTTTACATGGGAGAATGACCCAATTTTAGCTAGAACTGTCCTAGCATAGTCACTCTGGTCACATTGGACAAGTAACCAAATGTGGTCAAAACGCGGAAACAAATTATTGAACATATCACCCAAAAGTAGTCTATCGCGCCACCCTTCTGTACCTTTTGAGTAATAGACCAAAATTTTAAATTCTGAGATCAAAATAGGTAAAATTCGATATCTGTTCAAAAGAAAAAACAAAAAAGTCAGTCTACCACAAAATTAAATGTGTAACTGTAGTTTTGGCTTAACGGTCATCGTCAGACACAAATAAGTATCTAATCTAGACATCTGCAAAAGTTGGGTTGAGGTATAAAAATTTGAATTTGTCGTCAACTCAGATCGATCCTTATTGAAATTTGATTTTTTTGAAACAGCTGAGCAACCAAAAGACGATAAAGTTCATTTGTGAGTGAATTTATAAATCTGTTTATACCTTCACCAATGTGGAACTTACTCATTTGTAAGTTATCTTGGTTACTCAGCCATTTAAAAAATTTCACTTTCAATTAGGACTGATCTGAGTTTACGACAAATTTCAATCATTATGCTATAACCTAACTTTTGCACATATCTCCAAAAAAGGTACTTATTTGTGTCTGATGATAGCCGTTAGGTCAGAATTATAGTCACACCTTTGAATTTAACTTACTGGTCGACCATCTTTGAGTGTTTGTTTTTTCTTCTAAAAATTACTGGACCACTTTGAGAAATGAATGGTTTTCCATGACTCAATATTTGTTGATAATATCTTATTGTTTATTGATTCTCGACTGAACCACGCAGTTTCAATTTTTTTTGTAATTTAGGGGATCATTTCCCACACAAGCACTAGAATTTGTTTCAGGTCAAAATTTCGAAAGTGTTATATTTTGATCTCAATTTTGAATCATCTTAGGTGTCAGTGATGAAATGTCTCAGTAGATATCACTCCTTTTTTTATGGAAAATGATATGGCTCAACATCTTATTTCACCATATACCTGGTGAGTGAAATTCGAGTTGATGCATGTGGATCTCGGAAACGGTAAGAGCTACAGAGAGGGTTAAATGGAGGTAAAGTTGTGCAATTTAATGACTAACAAAATGCCGTCTTGAAATTTGAAAAATTCCGAATACTTTCGAAGATTTTTGAAGTATTTCCCTAGGGTTTGGATTACATAATATATCGACGATGTTTTTGTTATATTTGATAAGCAAATCACAGATATAGATAACTTTATCACAATTGAATAATGACTTCCCCTCAATCAAATTAACTTTTGAATGCGAAAATAACGGTCAATTACCATGCTTAGATGTTCTTGTGATCAAAAATATGGCAAAAACAACTTAAAATTTGATGTTTTTAGAAAAGAAACAACACACTTAGATAGATAACTAATGACTCCAATCACTGTTTTCAACACGAAATTACAAGTTTAAATTTCCTAGTACATAGTCTAGTTTCATTCCCTCTGAGCAAACAATGATTCGACGTTGAAAGGAGTGTTGTTTATGAAGTGGCTGGCGTCAATGATTATATCAAAATAGTAGATGAATGTAAACATAAATTTAAGTTAACACTTCGGAATTCTACGACTTTTCAAGAGGATAGAAACAATTTGAGAAGAATCCCAATCCCGTTCAACTCCAAATACACGAAAGGACTTGATAAGGTTGTCAAAAACTTAGGTTTTGGAAGCGTTTATCAGTCCGGGTCGAAATTAGGCAATATATTTGTAGTTTAGTGATATAAGACCGAGGTTAACATGTTAACTCAACCATGACTAACATTATCTTGGCGGTTTGGTGGACATATACCAAGTATATAAGTAGCACACTAGGATAGAACATTCAGTTTTAATCTTCTCCTGAAGATGCTGACATAGCTAGCGAAACACGTGTCGAGGCGTGAAATAACCGGTTTGGTTAGTGGTAAAACAGTGTGTACTGCTCTCTGTACCTCTCACCGTTTCCGAGATCCCCATACATCAACTCGAATTTCACTCACCCGGTATATGGTGAAATAAGATAAAAAGGGAGTGATATCTACTGAGACATTTCATCACTGACACCTAAGATGATTCAAAATTGGATGATCAAAATTTTACAGTCTTGAAATGTTGACCTGCAAGAAATTATAGTGGTGCTTGTGTGGAAAATGATCCCTTGAATTACAAAAAAAATAAATTTACTGCTTGGTTCAGTCGAGAATCAATAAACAATAAGATAGTATTAGCAAATATTAAGTCATGGAAACCATTCATTTCTCAAACTGGCCCAATAATTTTCAAAAGAAAAAACAAACACTCAAAGTCGGTCGACCAGAAAATTAAATTCAAAAGAATATATTATATTATTTTTATTTTTCAGCGACTTCATTATTGCCTTATTATACTTAAACTTGTTGAACTGCAAGCAGCAACTGCGTCATCTTGATATTTAACGTTAATTTTCATCATATGGCTTGGCTCACTCCAAATTGGGAAACGTTACTCAACGAACAATTATCCAAATTAGTTTGTAATTTCAGAGAACTGAAAGAGTTCTTCAACAAGTGATAGTAGTAACAGTATTAGTAGATATTTGTAGAGGCATCAGGCATGAGAACTCCATTGTTTCTTAGTTGAGTTAGAGTTGTCAATTTCAGAGTCATTTGGATTTGTAACTTATCAAAATAATTATCAAGAAAAGATCAAAACAAATAAATATTTTCAAATTTTGTTTTCAATATATCAAAGCTCTGATTCAAAACACAGTGAAAATCATGTTTCAAAACATCACCCTGATCTGATGTACAGTGTGTCCAGTTTTCGATGCTTTTGTGTGATATCTCAGTTGTCTTTGGAGATAGAGAGTTGCGATTTTCACATTACTGTCTTACTTTTTTGTGAAACGGACAATGCCGCAAACAGAATTGTCACAGCTCTCCATGTTCTTGAGATACCGGGCGAAATTGAAAATTCTCACTTTTTGAGCACCTCCCGTATCTTGGTTGGTATTCAACTTATTGGCGAGGTGAGAACGGAACCTTGTATAACTTTTTACGCATAATACAGTGGCGTACTCATTCTGTTTCCGTAATGGCTCATTTTCAGAAATTGAAGCCAACATTTTCTTTTTCAAATGGGACACCCTGTATATTTCTTTACAATTCGATTCAGATTTTTTTGGCTTTCCGAAAATATATAATAGTTGACATTTTTCTATATTATTGATGTTTCAATTCAAAGATATTCTTTTACTATGCGTTTTCGCAAGTAGGCCGTTGTGACTCATTAGAAAACAAAGTTGTTTATAGCTGTCAATAGATGTTGACATGAACGCTCATCAAGTTTTCATGCTATACTGTGTTTTCAAATGGAACATACATATATAGTTCAATTCAGATTTTCAAAAGCTCTCCGGAAATATTCAATAGTCACACACTTTTTTTATTATTAATACTTTAATTCAAAATTTGACTATCAACATGTTCATAAAGTCTTTTCCAATTATCATAAATATTGTTCAAAATGATCACCGTTTTTGCTTATAGTAATTTCACAAACTTTTCTGATTCTTTTAAGAGCATTTTTAAGTATAAATGGACGGCCCTGCAAATATCGGAAAGCAGAATGCGTGGCTGCTCTAAGTTCTTCCATTAAACGATGTTGTTGTAAGTCTTGTCTTTCAGAAAACCCCATAAAAAGAAATCTAAAACTGATAGATCTGGTGATCTTGGAGGCCATCTTATAGGTCCATTTGTGGCTATCCATTATCCATCGTTGAAAAAAATTAATTTCTAGAAATTGTCGTTTTATTTGAGTATTGTGGGCAGTCTTGTTGAAAATATATATTATTCAACTGAGCCAGAGGGATATTGTCCAGCAGCTCTGGCAAAACATCTCGTAGAATTTTTAGGTAACGGTTTGCAGTGAGACCTCCTTAATAAATCCGATATACAATATTTCTACCCAAAATGAAACAAGCCACGCTGAAGCCAAACCGTCCTTGCTGTTCTCGTTCAAATATAACATGGTGATTTTCTTGAGACCAATGTCTGGTGTTTTGGCGATTGAAGATGCCGGCACTCGAAAAATATGATTCATCACACCATATTACTGATTGGGAAAAGTCAATATTTATTCGAATCCGTTCCATATACCAATTACAAATAATTAATCGACGTCCCGCATCCCCAGGATGCAAATGCTGTACGATTTGTGATTTATATGGTGTGAATTTATTTTTCTTCGAAATTTTTTGTACCCGGCTCTTGACCACACCGACTTCTCGTTCAATAACTCGACATGAACTTGAAGGCGCTGCTTCTACGAAAGCTAAAACGTTGATTTCGTCCACAAATAATTTATGTTAACATACCTTCCGGAGTATAATTCTGAAGCATTATGTGAGTTTTCATTGCATTGTATGAAGCAAACTAACATATCATATTTTTCATAATTTTGATACAGTGCTGCCATCGTTTGAATCGCAGAAAAATACGAAAATTGCAAAATCACGAGTGTGAAACTCTTGAAAACACAGTATAGCATGAAAACTTGATGAGCGTTCATGTCAACAACTATTGACAGTTATGAACAACTTTGTTTTCTACTGAGTCACCACGGCCTACTTGCGAAAACGCATAGTAAAAGAATATCTTTGAATTAAAACATCAATAATATAGAAAAATGTCAACTATCATATATTTTCGGAAAGCCAGAAAAAATCTGAATCGAAATGTGAAGAAATATACAGGGTGTCCCATTTGAAAAAGAAAATGTTGGCTTCAATTTCTGAAAATGAGCCATTACGGAAACAGAATGAGAACGCCACCGTATTACACGTAAAAAGTTATACATGGTCCCGTTCTCACCTTGCCAATAAGTTGGATACTAACCAAGATACGGGAGGTGCTCAAAAAGTGAGAATTTTCAATTTCGCCCTGTATCTCAAGAACATGGAGAGCTGTGACAATTATGTTTGCGGCATTGTCCGTTTCACAAAAAAGTAAGACAGTAATGCGAAAACCGCAACTCTCAATCTCCAAAGACAACTGAGATATCGCACAAAAGCATCGAAAACTGGACACACTGTACAGCAAGGGCGTCGCCAGAGAGGGGCAGCTGCCCCCCCTATGTTTACGCTCACCAGTCACCCTGCTATCATTGAAACGACTATTTCATTCATCACATAATCTGACCAATCACAAGCCAGAGAAAACGTGTGCTTATCGCGAAAACTAGATGTTTTCAATGATGTAACCATGGGTAGCGAAGCGAAGTCTGTCAATTTGGCAAAAAATAATGACTGTACTTGTCAGAATGAATCATTCGTTCAAAATAAATGCTTCTTTGCTTCGTGAACGTGAAATAGTCTCCACTCTGTTCTGAATATATTCTCATAATTCTTCATTTCCTTGTCAAATCTATTGTGTTGCCGTACAGCCCTCTACCTTTGGTCCTGACTCGTGGTGTTGCTCAGCAACACAATTTCGTGAACAATGAGGCGACAGAAATATCTCGAATATTAAGAATATCGTGATATTACTTATGATAACGCTCACTTTGAGCAAAGAACTTCCGAAAGTATATTCTTCTCCTGAAGTTGAGAAGGCTCTGAAGATCCTTGTTGCCTTTACCTTGTAAGATTTGTACAGTTGAAAGGTCATTTAGTAGCCTTAGGAGAATCAAAACCTGGTTGAGGAGCACCATGTATGATGCTCGACTCAATGGCCTGGCAATGATGAGTATACACAGGCAACATATTTTCAAAAACTTGAACGATTTCGTCAAAAAGTGACCAACGAATTCCCAAAGAACCCTAGAAGATTATTTTTCAACTGATTTACTGTATAGATTTTTTTCTGTTTTTTGATTTTCTCATAAAACTCTTTCTATTTGATTTTTCTCTTCAGTTTTTTTATGGTGCCCCCCCCTATTTTTTCCGCTGGCGACGCCCTTGCTGTACAGTATACACTTTGAGAGTATTCAATCTGACAGAGCATATAAAAACAACTTACCTCCACATATTGCTTCCCACAATAATCACATGACAACAACTTATGGCCCGTGTGGTATTTCATATGCTTGGATAAACTGGAGGCCCACTTGAATGCCCTTCCGCACACGGAACACAAATGCGGTTTTCCGTTGATATTCCTCAACTCCCCTGTATGTTTCTTTTTGTGCTTGCTGAGGTTGGAACTCTCCGCGAACGACATGTCGCACTGATCGCACTGGTGGGGTTTCAGTTGCAAATGGATTTTGATGTGACGTTTCAAGATGCGCGCTTCTGAAAATGCTTTGTTGCACACATCGCATTTGAAGTCGAGCTCTTTCGGATGAGACATCATGTGCACCTGAAATTTAATCCAAATGTGTTACGGCGATTGGAAAAATATCACTAATACAAAAAATTGGATAACCAAAACTAAATATTTTGCAATCACGAAATTTCATTTATGTTCCTGGAGAGCAATTGGCGAGACCAATTAAATAACAAAAATCAACATTGATGTGTCGCTAACAGGATCATGGTAGACCCCTTCTTTTCCATGAGTTTTTCAAAGATAAGTGATTTTTGGAATGACTCATCAACTTCTCAAACTTCAAATCAAAAATGAAATAAGAATCAATTATTTCATTTTTGATTTTCCATTCCAGTGTGCAGTGACTATTCTGATTTTCTTCTATCGACAGGTGTGATGCTAGAAAAAATTGAATCCCAAAAAAATTGTCAAATTTTATGATTTTTCTACAAATTAGGTTCATAATTTTTTTCAGGGTTGCGACAATTTAATTAAAATGATTCAAAGCCGACGGCACATTAGCAACAACATCGCAAGAGAAAACGAATATTTTTGCAGAGATGGTCGCAGCGAACTTCACCTTTGATTCCCATGGAAGAGTGCCGCCAGACATTCCACCAGTTGAAAGTCGAATGCCCGAAATTGTCTTTCGTCAACGCATTCTGCTCGGGCTCAAAACGAATAAGTCTAATGGTCTAGATGGAATTCCACCCATTATTCTCAAAAAGTGTGCACCAGGATTGACACAGATTCTCTGCAAGCTATTTACAATCTCCTACAAGTCGGGTATTTTTCCATCTCGCTGGAAAATAGTACAAAAAAAACCAAAAAGGAAACAAAACCTTGCCCAACAACTATAGGCCAATCGCCCTGTTATCAGTCATCTCCAAAGTGATGGAGAAATTCATCAACATTGAGCTGATCAAATATCTAGAAATCTCAGGAATCAATAATGATAGACAATATGGCATTCGCCACCGAAGATCAACTGGAGATTTACTCGCCTACATTACCCAAGCTTCATTAGAAAAACATGGGGAATCTCTAGCTGTGGCGTTAGATATATCGAAGGCATTCGACCGTGTTTGGCACCAAGGACTGCTCCAAAAACTACCATCAATCGGCTTACCACCTCAGCTATGCCATCTTTTATCGAGTTTTCTTTCAGGCAGATCGCTCCATGTGGTGGTGGACGGAGTATCGTCTGATACCATTGCCATCAATTCTGGCGTTTCACAAGGATCAATTTTGGCACCAACATTGTTCCTACTTCATATCAACAATCTATTAGGAGGAGCCACTTGCCCTATCCACAGCTTTGCAGACGATAGTACTAATTATAGCGCGTTCTCTTCTAGAATTCCCATTTCTTCCCAGGAAACTGAAAACTAGGCAGGCCAACGCTGCCGATGAAGATCTTGTGGAAATAACACCCTGGGGAACCAACAATCTAGTTGAATTCATCGCCACCAAAACTCAAGCCTGTATTTTCTCTAGAATGGAGGAAATCAGGATGCCTGATATAACAATGGCTGATACCACCATTCCCACCAAGACCACTATATCTATGCTCGGTATTACCATTAGCAATACTCTCTCATGGGAAATCAAGTCCGATCCATCGCAAAACCTGCTTCACAAAAACTCGGATTCTTGTTCCGTTCGAGAATCTAATCTACACCACAACAGCTTCTCATGATCTACAAAGCCCATATACAAAGCTGCTTCACAAGAACTCGGATTCTTGTTCCGTGCGAAAATCTACTCTATACCACAACAGCTTCTGATCTACAAAACACAGATACGGCCAGTTTGAGAATACTGTTCTCATGTATGGGATTCAGCACCCAAACATACGCTGATGCTCTTACATTCCATCTAGACAAGAACCATTCGACTGGTGAATGATTTTATACTCACTAACTCTTTGACCTCATTAGAACACCGTAGAAAAATCAGCGACCTTTCACTTTTTTATAGATACTTCCACGGGAAATGTTCCTCGGAAATCACTGCCATAATTCCATCACTAGCAATACCATATATACAAAATAAAACAGCTGGAAATTATCACGTCAGTACTGTATTCAAATGGTGTTTTTTGAAGTATAAGGGCATATTTTATTGAAAATTTGATGCATTCATGTCATGTTATATGCACAATTAAATAATCGAATTCTCGCATTTGTGTTCTTGCCTATTGCTGTAAAAACAATAAGTCCCCAAAGAAGATAACTCATCAGGAAATTAAAATAGGAGATATTTTATTTAAAACTAAGTATTTACATGCATAATTCAAGTGTACCAATTTTTTTTTTAGACAGGGAAGCCACGGCACGCTGCCGAAATGTTTCATTTCAACAGAAGTTATTTTGTATGTCGCCGAGGAGATTTTCTAAATCATGACAACAAATATTTTTGGGCGAATACAAAGAAAATAATGAAAGGAAGTGATTCTGAGTTCATGATTTCGATATTTCAAGGAGAAAATCAGCATAAATCAAAAAATCGAAATACATTTAATCGTGATTTTTTTGCAACTCTGTTATTTCCTTATGAAATCATATTGATACCAGGGTACCATAAACTCCTTATTATGATTACTAGCGAAAGAACAAGAATTTATTTTAATTTTTTTCACTCACCTTCAGGTCAACCTTCAAAGCGAATGCTTCTTCACATTTCGTACAAGCATACTTTAGTTTAGGACTTTCGATCGTGCTACCAATTCCTTCCAGTATCACTTCTTCAACATTCTCACTGTCTAATGTATACAAAGTTGCCTCTTTTCCCTGAAATGGATTTTTTATTCATGTTTGGCATATCTAATGTGACATTTTCCGAAGCGGAACGAAGTTTTGTAACGTCTCACATAGGAGAACCTATTACAAAATGAAAAATAGATTGTAACATTCGCCATAAGAAAAATGCCGTGATCAAACATGATAATCTAGTGACTCGAAAAACGAAATTGACAAAAGATATCATCACAGATATTCATCGTTTTTAGTCTTTAGGAGAACCATTTTTTTGTTCAAGATTTTAGAAACGTTACACATTGAAATATTGTAAAACTCATCTAGGGATTTGATTCACCTTAGTAGGTCATTTCCTCGGTCATTTCCATTTATCAATTATGTTTCTTCAGTTTGAAGTGGAACCGTGAATAGTGGATAATAAATATTTTTAGTATGTAAAGAGAAATCTCCCGGGTGAATAAAAAAATCGGTATTTTGAGTTGAAATTTTCTTTCAAATAATGCATCTCTTCATTAGTTGAAGAGAATTAAGGGGCTTTTTCAGGAACACTTTTCGGTTCGATAGAATTCGATGAGATTTTGTTCGATCGAGTTATGGTTGTTCTGTGGTAACGACAAAATATCATACTGAAAATCGTGAAAAGTGGGTGGTCAGCAAGGAAGCTCTTATGTGGCTTTCCTACGTTTTTTGTATGTATCTCCGTAACATTCATCTTTACCATAAATTGTTTGATATACGAAATTTGGATAGTGGTAACACAGTAAATGTGATTATCGCACAGATATAACTTACTATTTAGACCAATAGGTCGCGTGCACAAGGACCGACCCTGGAGGTAAAATATTTGAACACAACCTCACTCTTCTGTGAATTATTGAAACACAACTTCACTTTTTTATTTGTTTACAGAGGAATCCAAGGATTGAAATAGTTTTTCTCAATATTTTGGCAAACGAATCGTGTTTTTCGCCCTATTCATTAATTCAAGCATGCCTTCGCATTGTGCTGTTGTACAATGCACAACAAATGCAGCGAGAGACGAAGGAATATGATTTTTCAGGTGAATAGTAATCTCACATAGGTAGTTTTTATTATGAAATTTTGTCATTTCTCATTGAAATTCCTTCTTCCACTTCTGCAATAGAAGCTAATACTGCTAAAAGATTGAGAATGTCTACAACCACACATGATCATATTTGGTCAGCATGTCAGACCCGTCCTCCCGTTTGATTGCATGAATCCAATCTGCATTATTTTAGAAATTTCACTTGTATTTCTATTAGCTCCTATTGCCGAAGGAATTCCAATGAGAAATCAGAGAAATTACCAAATTTCAAAAATGAAAACTATATGTGAGTGACTATAGTAGGTACTTACTTTTGAATCATAATGTACCAACAGGATTCCTTCGTCTTCTGCTGCAGTTTTTGTGCATTGTACAACAGCACAATGTGATGGCATGAGCAAATTAATGAATAGCCAAAAAATACGATTCCTATGCCAAAATAATTGTCGACTTATGTCACTTGGTGTTCGGAACCATGAGTAAATATAAGTGAAGGTGGATTCATAAAAAAACATTAATTATCATTGCATTATCACTATCAAACCATAGTTTTTATATTAAATAGAATCTAGTAAGTATTGGGTGTTTTTAGTTTTCGGCGCATGGAAACCATAAAAATATCAGTGGCTCATACCAGTCAAAAAACTCTCAATTCATACCATTTGAACTTCAACAAAAAATTGTGTCTATTAAAATTTAGCACTAATGCACCCCCTAAAAAAAATAAATGCTACACCCTTGGTGATCGAAAATCAAAAAATATGGATGACAGATCTTCCTTCTTTGCCACAAAGAGGCTATGCCCATTATCACTCTTATAGAGTTTATTTTCGAGTTCAAAATTGGTTGGGCAACCACTTGTGAGCAATCATCTGCTACCCGAAGAGTGGGGCTCGGCAAATAACCAGACAGGCTGTGAGGAAGCTTGTAAAAAGAAGAATAGCCCATCACTATAGTAAACGAAGAGCTTGATGAATATTGCACCAGGAATCGGTAACAGAAAAATTGATGTTTCGAAAGTGAAATTGTGAAATTTTTTCTAGGATATTAGTACCACACTTAAATGACTTGCTATGATCCCGCTCCATACCCGTCCGAATTTTCAGTATAATGTACTGTTCGAACCAACAGACAATCCAAAACTCCGGGATTATTTCAATCAATTTTTCTGATTAGACTAGGGTAAATTTGAAATGGTTATTTCTGGGAAGAACTATGATAAATTCTAAGTGCCTTACATCATTCCTGCCAACTTCGTTATATGTCACAAACTCTGCTATGTCCTGTTTTATGACTACACCACCTATTTCATCTGCAAATTGTAGTTGTTCTTGTAACTCCTGTTTAGCTTGCATTTGTTGTTGATTTGCTATCGACTGGGCAATTTGTTGCTGAAAAGAATTTTTTCAATGACAATAATTGTATCTTTATTATTTCCATAAAAACAGATAGATATTGGGCGAGATGTGTTTTACAAATCCAAAGAAGAAAAAACACAAAAACTACACATCCTACAAAAAAATTATCAACTATAATGACTTCATTAAATGTCTATTTAAAAATAGTTGTTTCCACCCAATGATTATTAAGAGTACCTATTTGAAGTTTTACAGAAGGTTGACTGGGACCTAGAATATAAAGGTGTCACAGAGCTTTTAGGCGATCAGAATATCTGGATAGATAATAGTTGATTTATTCAATTCTATCTTAACGAACATCCTTTCCTCAATTCGAGTATATCTCATGATAGTCATGATCCATATTGTTTTAGAGCTTTATCGTCAAAACTACGATGAAATGAGTAAATGTTTGTGCAGACCAATTGTTACTGTTACGCCCAGTTACGTATTGCGAAAATCGTACTCAATTGGTCACCAAGACGTAATAAGGTAATATGAGGAGAGAAAATATTATTTTTCGGCTCACTTCCTGACGCTTTTTCTTTAGGAATGTATCATTTTTCCGGCCTAGTCCGGGGAGTACGTACTTCCCGGACTAGGCCGGGAAGCATCACATCGTTGTTATCACTGTAACTATGAAAATTTTGGTAGATATGGTTTTGATAAATATAGATGATAATTACCATAGCAGGGAAACTGACAGCTGACAGCTATTTGACATCAAATCACTTGATTTGATTTATTTTTGAGAAAGTTTTTATTGCAATTATCGCAATAAAATATCGAAAGCAGCTGCGATAGTGAGTTTGAAAATGTCCATACGAAATTTCCAATGTAACAGTTAGTAGGTATAGGTATTCTGTTCAAATTTCAGTATTTGATAGAAATGAGAATTAATAAAAAGAAATTGTATTCTACAAAGAAATATAATATGGAAATGTGTCTCATTGATTTTCTATTCTACATGGTTGCCGAAAAATAGTGTACGCAACACGCCCAAAAACAGTTTTTTGGGCTCGCACACTTCCAGGACTCGACTACGGCTCGGCATAAAATTCTGTCTACTCGCCAAAAAAAAAACAGTATTTACCTGACTTGTTACGTAAATTCCTTTAGAAACAATGTCAGGGGCGGGGGAGCTTCAATATATGTGAAAGAAACAATCAAAAGTAACCTGAAGGAAGTATCCACTCCTGAAAACATATGTTATCTTGTAAGTTGCAACCTCCTGGACAATGATCTTGTAATCATCACAATTTATAGACCACCATCATCAAACACAAAGGAGTTCCTCACAGAACTAGACGAAGTTTTGAATAAAAACAAAAAAAAAGACGATCCTTGTAGGAGATATGAACATAGATTTAATAAAGAATAATGATCAGGAGGTTAAAGCTTACAAGAACCTAATAACACTTAATGGATATGTTATAAACAACATTATTAATTTACAGAATGCTACTCGAGTAACAGAGAGAACAAAAACTATGACCATGTTCTGTCAAGGAACCTAGTAACATGTGATGTTATTGTTAGAGATGAAATTAGGTCAGATCATAAGGGCTTAAACATAAAAATAGATGAAACAGTAAAGAAAACCAAAAAAATAATGGAAAACCACAAATTCTTGAACCAACAGATGTTCTTGAGGAGGTCGAGGGAAATGAAGCCATAGCTCTTCGAAGTACTAATGTTAAAGAAATACATCAAGTAATCAAGGAACTAAATAAAAATTCTTCAGCAGGAGATGATGAAATAACAACAAGGGACTTAATCACATTACAAGATGCAATTGCACCAATCCTGGTCAAATTGATTGATAAATAAAACATTTCAACAGGGTATTTTCCCCAATTCATAAAACAGGGCCAACTAGTCGAATTGATAACTTCAGACCAATAACTTAATATCTTGCCTATCAAAAATTACTGGGATTATAAGTCAAGAATTATTGAATTTATAGAAAAAGTCGTCCACTTCGACAAATACCAGTACGGGTTCCAACCTCAAAGTAATACAATGAGTGCTACCATTGATTTTGTCAATCTTGTCTCCTCTAATCTAGATGAAAAAAAATATGTTGTAGCCGTTTTAATTGACTTACAAAATTGGAAAAAATGGGAATACGTGGAAATTTACTAACACTTTTGAAAACATATCTACATAATCGGGTACAATACGTTTGCATAGAAAGCATTAGAAGCGAAGTCATGAGTACACCTTGTGGAGTGCCGCAGGTGTCGGTATTAGGACCTCTACTGTACTCACTACATGTTAGGAGCCTAGAAAAAGTAGAACTACTTGGAAGATACTTTACCTTTGCAGACGACACCGTCTTAATCTACAGCAATGAAAATCAAGAAGATTTTGGGATGAGAATAAATTCTGACCTAAATTTGTATAACTATTGGATAACAAAAAACAAATTGAAAATAAATACAAAAAAAACAACCTATATGGTATTTATGCAAAAAAATACGAACTTCGAGGAGATAAACATAAAAATAGGAGGAGAAAAGATACAAAGAGTTGAAAGTACAAAATATCTTGGCTTAGTTGTAGACGACAAAATGAATTGGAGTAAAAATATTGACCACATTGAAAATAAAGTAGTACCGATGATTGGAGCGATCTATCAAATCTATAATGCATACTTTTAATCTATTTTCAGATACTTGATTCCCTTATGGGGTGCTTGTGGACGTACACTATTTGAGAAAGCAGAAAAACTACAAAATAAAATTGTAAAAGTTTTATTCAATATCGAATTCAGAACACCAACAAAACAGGTTTATGAGCAAACTGGCATTTTACCAATCTCAGAAATATTGAAAATTGAACAGAGTGAATTCATATACAAAGTTTGCAAATCTGAACAGAAGTGTAATTCACGAATTGCATTAAACCATGAAGTCCATTCCTATGAGACAAGGAACCAAAGAAATATATACATCCACAAGCCCACAAGAACGAACATCGCTTTAAATAACCCTCTCAATAAATGTATCAAAACTTCTACTTGTTTACCAGTGGCGTTGAGGGAAGCCGATAACATAAAACTATTTAAAACTGAGTTGTCAAAAAGAATCTCTAACAATAACATAAGTGTATGAAGATCAGGTTAGGATAGTAACAATGAAATGAATGTGTGTAGGATTAAGTTCCGAGACCAGCATCACGTGCTGATTAGGAATTATTTTTCAAATAGCATCGAAAACAGTAATGTATTAAATTGAAAATAATCAAGATCAGATTGTGAACTATTTGAATAAAGCCTTAAAAAAATACTATTATCTTCCATTCTACTCCGCAGTTACGTAAATTACTAAACAACCAACAAAGTCAATGTGACAAAAGTATCAACTGTCAAATACTGTTTTTAACCTTACATCATGTTACCCTTTGATTTGGATGGAAAGAGATAGACCACTTGAAGCACAATTGAAAAAAACATGGAGGAGGAATTTGAAAAATTCAAGTTGTCTGTAGAATTTGATCATATTTTTCGACACAAAGGTGATTTGATCCCCTCATATTGGAAAGATCAGATACCATATTATATTCTACAGTCCTCTGTGAGATACCCCACATATCGGCTGGCTAGAAACTTTAAAACAACCTGTATATTACCAAGCACTTACCTGGAATTCTGGGGTGAGATACTGACGTAAAATATTATCAGACTTTTCACATAGCTGTTTGAAAGTATATGCCCTACTGCACTGAAGTACACATTGGACACACATGAGACTTGGGAAACCATCTCCTTCTGAAATCTATAAATTGAAAAAATTATCAGAGAGGAAGAATGATTATACCTAATTGTACAATGTGTATCACTCTTCATGAAAGCACCTAGTATATTTCAGAGTATATTTCATATCATTATCAAAATTGGTAATTCGACAAAAAACTGGATACATGTGGTGTGAAAACTGGGTAGGTAGTTGATTTATAACACTTATCAGTATAAATTATAACTTATGTAACGAGACATACAGGGTGTTTCCGGAATTAAATCAATGAATTATGTGGGTAGTAGAAGATATCAGACGAGATGAAATCAAAGTATGAATACAAGTTCGAAAGTATTTGGGGAGATATCACATTCTAAAGTTCACCTGGAATGTTCATGAATCATTGATTAGATGTAAACAGCCGAACCAGAGCGTTTGCTTTCATTGAGGTCAGAATAGCACTACAAGTATCATTGACTTGTGCAATATTGATCAACATTGATTAAAATTAATTAACACCTGCATCAACACGCCTAACTAAAATAAATATAATTGGAGTTACCACCGAATGTGACCCATTCGGCAGATTATTATAATAATATGAGTAGGGGTAGGTTGAAACAAGGCCTCAGACTACTTACTTTACTTTGTTACAATTTATGTTGACATGCATCATGTCAACTGAGAAAACATATTTTTCAGGTCCTAGGAGTTAAAGTTCAACTTGAGCTCCTATATAGGAACTAAATGCGTTGCCTAGCAACATATAGGTACCTATTTTTGTATCAGTAATAGAAACGGCAACTTCAAGAGCTAATTATTTTGGGATTAAAATGGAGGACTTTTGAGTCCATTGCACGAAAACGGTATTTTATGCTGTGAAAAAATCGCAGAATTGTCAAACTTGATTGATGGGAGATCTAAAATGTTTTTGGAGTTCTAAGGAAAAACTTTAAGAATGTTTAGAATCAGGACTATTATAACCTAGTATATTCTTTTGTGAAAGTTAAATTCCAAATTCTATCCCTTCCACCCATAATAAGATATATACAGGGTGAGTCGTGAGGTACTGTACAGTGTGTCCAGTTTCCGATGCTTTTGTGCGATATCTCAGTTGTCTTTGGAGATAGAGAGTTGCGGTTTTCACATTACTTATTTACTTTTTTGTGAAACGGACAATGCCGCAAACAGAATTGCCACAGCTCTCCTTGAGATACAAGTAGAAATTGAAAATTCTCACCTCGATTCTCACTTTTTGAGCACCTCCCGTATCTTGGTTAGTATCCAACTTATTGGCAAGGTGAGAACGGGACCTTGTTTAACTTTTTACGCATAATACAGTGGCGTACTCATTCTGTTTCCATAATGGCTCATTTTCAGAAATTGAAGCCAACATTTTCTTTTTCAAATGGGACACCCTGTATATTTTTTTACATTTCGATTCAGATTTTTTTTGATTTCCGAAAATATATAATAGTTGACATTTTTCTATATTATTGATGTTTTAATTCAAAGATATTCTTTTACTATGCGTTTTCGCAAGTAGGCCGTGGTGACTCAGTAGAAAACAATGTTGTTTATAGCTGTCAATAGTTGTTGACATTAACGCTTATCAAGTTTTCATGCTATACTGTGTTTTCAAGAGTTTCACACTCGTTATTTTGTAATTTTTGTATTTTCCTGAGATTCAAACGATGGCAGCACTGTATCAAAATTATGAAAAATATGATATGTTAGTTTTGCTTCATACAATGCAATGAAAACTCACATAATGCTTCGTAGAAGCAGCGCCTTCGAGTTCATGTCGAGTTATTGAAGGAGAAGTCGGTGTGGTCAAGAGCCGGGTACAGAAAATTTTGGAGAAAAATGAATTCATACCATATAGTCCAATAAATAAAGGGAAAAAGTTAACATTAATTACGCACTATTTTCATCTTCCGGTTGGAAGTAGCTTTTGGTACCTCATTAAACTTGAGACAAAGTTTGACTGGAAAACGCGTGCGATGGCGGAGAAAATGGCCCCAAAAGACCAGAAAAATAGGTTTTCAGCCAATATCTCCTAAAATATGACAGTTAGAGATTTTCGGTTCAGATGAAAATTGAAGTTCAGTTAATTTTCTACAAAAATGATCCTTTATCATTTGCCCGGTTTCGAGAAAAACGGCACGAAGCGCACCTCGAATAATGAGCTTCTGTGTTGTATGCCGGAGAGCACAGTCCGTGTATTTACACATCGGCGGGAGGACGAATTATTCAATAACTTTGTTAAAAATGCATATTTTCTCATGATTCAAAGTTCATGTTCAAATTGAAAAAATGGCTGCTCCAAGATGGCGGACAAGATTTGGTCCAATTCCATTCAAAATTGGTAAGTGGGGGGTTTTTGAGGTCGGAGATCATGATTTTTTTTGTTAAAATTTATATATTCAAGATGGCAGCTTCCAAATAATTTTTTGTTTTTGTATAAATGACGATAACTCCGTTGTTATCTACACAAAACTATTACTGCGACATATCATCTGTAAGAGAAAAAAAAGTTATTCCTAACTAAGTCATAGTGAGCTATGACCTACATTTGAAAAACTAAAGTTGGTGCTGATATCTCAAATTCTAAAAGAGTTGGTATAAATTTCATATTTTTTTCGAGATATCTTTGAAAAACTGCCATGAGAATGTGAAATTCCTATTTGAATATTTTCATAAATAAAGAAGTTAGGGAGGAGACATGAAAATGATCAAAATCTGTTTTTTGCGTATAAAACAAAAAGGAATAGATTTTATTGAAATATTTTTTCACATTATAGTTGGCCTTGACAAACTCCACATTTGGTGTCTTTCAACCCACCTGGTATCTCTCACCATTAAAAAGATACCCATGGTGAACATGGTAAGTGGGACACACTGTATATTGGAGAAGAAGATGCTTTCTAATGGACATTAGGTATTCTCCTCAGGGGCCTCTATTACTTAAAATGTAAAGGTTAGAAGTAATTTTTCCTGACATAAAAAATAACCTCCTAATTCATGTTATTGTTTTTTCCTGTTTCTTATATCTCTTTCTTTGAGATCAATGAAGAATGAAGATCAATTTCCTGTAGGTTCAAAATGGATCCCATGAACTCAAGGTTGGCCCCTGCTTGAATAGTTCAATAACTACAGGGTGTCCCTAAAAGGTCTGTAGGTACAAAATCTTGGCATATATTCCTGAGGTCAAAATAAGCTGATTTGGAGCAGAACTTACAATTAGTATGAAATTGCTCTATTTTTGAGATACAGATAAAGTATTTTGAAAATTCCATTTTGCACTGCTAATTCACTGACCAAATTACATTCACAAAGATAACAGCAACTATTTTGTATTCAAAATAATTCAAATATTTCAGTGCTGCATCAAAAACTCTGGCTTAAGTGGATTTCAACAGGAGTATCTTTTTTGCTTGAAAATCTTGAAAATGTTCAAAAGATTATTTACTCAATGAATAAAGTAGGAAACTACTCCATCTGAGAAAAGAGTTATGGCCATTCAGCCATTCAAAACCATAAGATATCCATATCCATGTTTCACATCCCAAATAACCCCTGGATATCAATTTTTAAAGGAATATGTTATAAAAATGTTCATAGATTCTGAGAAATTCGATTTTCATTCTTCAACTTCACCACCCTGTAACTCGGAAACAGAGCAATTACAGACGAAAGTTGCTTTGAATCATTTTGACCTCATGTATGTGCTGATATTTTGTACAGGGACACCCTGCATATTTTTTTTTCATATGTTTATTTGGTTGCATAAGTATCAGGCTATAAGTAGAAGTTCAATAGTCTCGTAAATCGGAAAATTGCATACCAGTATACCATAAGATATACCCACCTCTAGTGCAGCAAATGAATTCAACATTTCATCCAAACAAGCCCCAAATAACGGTCGCATGTCTCCCTTTTCCGTCAAACATGCCCTACAAATCTTATCTAGCTGAAGGGGGGCTGTCAAATATGACCTCATATCCATGATGCCTTGTAATCAGAAAACACGAACGTTCAATTCTTGGCCCATCGGATATTGCTAACAGATGGACGTAAGTCGTCTAGCAGCGAATCCTTCACTTTGCACACAATACGACACTACCTAGGCGTTCATCTGAACAATTCATCGAAATATGTCCGCAAGGCAGACGACAGCAATGGGAGTTCAGGAAACGACGGGGAAGGAGTGGAACTGGATGACGTATTGCGCAGCTTGTCAGAGTGGAGTGGCAGTGCCCAATGGCACGATGGCACGAATCCACGAATCCGTTTTGTTTTGCCCCAACATATGTATAGAGTAGAGTCACTGTATAGAGTGGTATGGGAGACCAATCAGAGCGATTTTGGCAATTGCGGTAAATTCAAATCACTGATATCGACGGTAAATTCGAATAACGAATGTTTTCACATCATAGTAAATGGCCGAGAGCTTCGCTCACGGCAGATCCTAAAAAAAAAACATCATTGAAATGCCGAATCAATATATCGGCCTCAACAGTAGTAATTTTTTCAGGGAGGAAGGAAAATATCGCTTCTTCATAATAAAGCAGATTACTTTTTTAATCATTCTTACCTTATTTTAATTAACCTAACTAAACCGACTTCCTGAAAAGTATATTTTTGGAAAAAGCACTTGAAAAATCAAAATAAAAAAGCCGACCGTCAAAGGAATTGAACCCTGATCATCCCTGATCGCCGGCGTATTAAAGTCTTTCATTGTATACACATATTACATTTCAGCACAAAATTACAATTCACATTCAGGATAGCAGGACATCTTGTTAGGGTGCAGAGGTGTCTGGTGTTGGCCAGGGAATGTGAGTGTATTTGTGAAGATATATCCACCTTTGTGAAGTGTTAGTCTCAGAGGCCCATCTCCTGGGGCCAAGCCCCTAATATAGGTGATCTCTGCCCAAGAGGATGGGGGAGCTGATCAATCGCTATCATTGGTGGTTGGTTCGAAGGGGATGAAGGAAAATAAAATTTCCAAAAAACAAATACCTCCTGCTCGGATCGCCGGCGTGAAATTCGACAGAACAACAGATGATCCACCTGCAAATTATAGTATGAAGAAAGAACTAAAATACTATGAATTGATCTTCATTACACAGGTCGTGGAAAGAAATTCTGGATTGAGGTAACCCAATCACGATTCTAAAAGAGTTATAAGAAAGAAAGAATTTAAGTCAACTCAAGCAGTTGCCAGTTGCCCGTAAATGGAGGCGCCTCTTTTAGATTGTTCTGATTGGTCTATAGGAATCACTCATGCATATGCTTGGGCAAAACGAATTTGTACGTGCCAATGCGCGTTTATGGCGCGAAATTCAAGTGAATGATGAACGGTTGTGGATAATTTCTATTTCTTGTTGTGGCGTGATGAATATCTCTAGATGAAAGATGAAATTAGATATTTACGTGACCAGTTAGACAAATATCATTGATTATATACTTTTTATTTATTTATTTATTTATTTATTTATAAACGGGTGAACCCAGTGTAAAAAAACATGTATATATATAGCCTATACAACATATCACAGAACATTGATTGATTTATACATATCTACACTTTAAAGACAATGAACATTAAAAATATAAACATTACATTATTACAAGAATGCGTTTGGCTCTTTCAGTGCCAGTGTTAAAAATGTCCCAGTTCACTCTGTTACTCAGCGTCATCATCCTGTTTATCGGGCTATTGTTTGCATATATAGTTCTATGAGTTTCTAAATTGAAAGTGCTGCTATAACGTAATCGTTTTTGAGGAACATGAAATTTTAGGGAGGCCAATAATTCAGGACAATCAATCTGATTATTACATAATTTTTGAATAGTGATGATGTCATTGTTGCTTCTACGCTCTTCTAGGCTTTTTATGTTTAGGCGATTTAAAATATTGTCATAATCAAATTCCTCCATAGGAATACCGAGCTTGAAACCAATATAACGCAAAAAACGTTTCTGAACTCTTTCTATTTTCATGATATGAGCTTGGAAGGCAGGACACCACACTCGAAACATGTCCCCCCTGATTTTGAGATTCTTCAAACTAGTTCAAACCTAAGACGAATAAAAGAAACACGCGTTGATATGAGACATATATGAGATATGAGATTTGGCGGGACGACTGGGACGAGCGAAGCGAGATCAATTCCCACGATGCCCAATTCCCACGATGCCCAATTCCTACGATGCCCACCTTCATGTCGACGATTACGAAGATTGCCGAAGAGCGCAACGTTGCCAGGTCATGAGAAAAATTCAGAAAACACAAGATTCCCACCATGCCCACTTTTCATACATTCCCACGATGCCCAATTCCCACCCTGCCCACCTTCTTTGGATTCCCACCATGATAAAGGTGGGCATGGTGGGAATCGGGTATCGTGGGAATGCATGAAAGGTGGGCATGGTGAATCTGAAGGAGGTGGGCATCGTGGGAATGTATGAAAAGTGGGCATGGTGGGAATCTAAAGAAGGTGGGCATCGTGGGAATGTATGAAAAGTGGGCATGGTGGGAATCCAAAGAAGGTGGGCATGGTGGGAATTGAGCATCGTGGGAATGTACGAAAAGTGGGCATGGTGGGAATTGGGCATCGTGGGAATGTATGAAAAGTGGGCATCGTGGGAATGAATGAAAAGTGGGCATGGTGGGAATTGGGCATCGTGGGAATATATGAGAAGTGGGCATGGTGCGAATCTTGTGTTTTCTGAATTTTTCTCTTGACCTGGCAACGTTGCGCTCTTCGGCAATTTTCGTAATCGTCGACATGAAGGTGGGCATCGTAGGAATTGGGCATCGTGGGAATTGGGCATCGTGGGAATTGGGCATCGTGGGATACTCCCAAGCGAGATATCCCACAAAACACAGCTGTGTGAAGATGGCAGCCAAAGATAGCAGCCAAAATCTCCGAACATTGTTGAAGACCCAGTGGCGGAGCACATGTTATATTTTCAAGCCTCCATCAAAACACAAAAAAAATATATGTTGAGGGTATTGTGAAGAACTGCTCTGCGACGACATAGAGTAAAAATCATTTTAACATACCCAATGAACTAATTGACCATAGAATCAATCTCTGTAACCCCTAGAACAAAAATATTTCAAAATCAACCTTATATATACACATAAAAAAATAATTGAAGGGTGTAAATGAAAAACTGCTGCGATGACATAAAATAGAAATCATTCAAACAGACCTTATAAAAACGATTTGGGTACCGAAAAAGTCCCCGCAACCCCTATCGAAAAAATATCCTTTAAAAAAGTATATGTTTATATTGTAATGATATTTCCCTTGGAGGGGCTTTAGAAACATCAGCAGGAAGGCAGGAGTACAACGATCATCCTGTATCACGCATCCCAGATTGCTCTCCTACCTCCCAATGATTCCTACATGCACTAGCATATTTCCGAACACTCAATATATGCCGCGGTGACAGATAACGTCACAGAAGATTCTGGAATGTTCTGGAAACAATCGATGGAACAATTAGAGAGAGAGGTTTGTTCTAAGAAGCTTCTAGAACAAAAAGAAGGAGACGGAAGAACATTCGAGAAGGTTCTCGAACCAAAGCCTGTCTAGTTATCTCATAATATATAAACGGCCGAATAACTGCCGTCAGTCAGTCAAACAGCGAGTGTCAGAGAGACAGTTATATACCGCGTGTTATAAATCGTTTTACATAAATAGTAGTTATAAGTTCGATATAAATTAGTGTTTCTTTAGTTTAAATAAATCAGTTGGAAAATAAATAGTGTCGTGTTCGCTTCTGCACCCGAATAACGTAACAATTGGTGTCAGAAGTGGGATATTCCAGTGTGAAGTGAACAGACCGTTGCAATGAAGAAACTCTACGAGTTGAAAGTGGTGGACTTGAAACGCGAGTTGGAGGAGAGAGATCTCGACACAACAGGGATCAAGGCTACACTTCAGCATCGTCTCGAAGAGTATATGGTGAGCGTAGGTCAAGATCCAGAGACGTTCACCTTCGAGGAACCAGCTTCAGCAGAATCGATGTTGGCTGGGATCATGGCACAGATTTCTGCTCAGCAAGATCAGATCGCCTCTCAGATCTCAGCTCAACGGCATGAGGTATTGGCTCAGATAACAGCTCAAGTCGCGACTCAGATACAAGATCTGAAGAAAGAACTGCAGCTCGAAATAGATGAACTGAAGTCACAATCTCGCAGGAGAGCTGCGATGGAAGGGTCAGGAAATGGTCAACGACTCGCGATGGAAACAAAAATAGGGCCGGATGCAGTGGTTACTACCAATCGAGTGAAGCCGCCTACATTCGATGGAAAAACATCGTGGCCAAACTACCTGAAGCAATTCGAAGCAGCTTCCAAAGCCAATGGGTGGACATCAGAAGACAAAGTGGTAGCTCTCACAGTAGCTCTACGGGGTGATGCACTAAACATCTTGCAAGCCATTCCGGAAGATAAATCCTATAACTACGATTATCTCATCGAACGCTTCAACTTGCGCTATGGTCAAAAACATCTACAGCAAGTGTTACGATCACAAATGAAGAACCGTCGACAGGGAGACAATGAGAGCCTACAGGAATTTGAAATGGAAGTAGCTCGGTTGGTTCGGTATGCCTACCCATCAGCTCCTGAGTATCTGATAGACTGTCTTGCTGTCCAAACGTTCCTGGATGGATTGCGCGATATGGAAATGCGGAAAGCGGTTCGGTTGACTCGACCTAAAGACTCTCCCAGTGCTCTGGCAGCTGCGCTAGAAATCGAGGCCGCGATAGAAGCTACACGAGAAGCAACAAAATTCCAAGCCGTCGATGACAGCACGAACATAGCGGACAGTCCCAGGCAAAATCTAACTGAAGACCTTATAAACGTCATCAAGGGCCTCTTGGATGAGGAGAAGAAACCAGTTCGAGCAGCTGCAGGAAAACTAGAGCGAGATGATCCAAAAAGACCTGTTTACCGAGTGGGGACGAGCCATAAGAATGCAGATGCATTGTCCAGAAGGCCATGTCCACCTGAGTGCTCACATTGTAGTCGTTTGGAGGATAAGGAAGCAGCCCTCTACAGAACCACCGTTCTCAATGAAGATTGGTTACCTGCAGCAATCAAGCAAGAGCAAGAAAAGGACCCAGAACTTCGGAAGCTTCGAGAATGGAAGAAAGCGAATCGCCGTCCTTCTTGGCAAGAAGTAGCACCATCTTCACAGACTTTGAAGGCGTACTGGAGTCAGTGGGACTCCTTGGTATTAGAAGATGACCTGCTCAAGAGGAATCTCGAGAGCGATGATGGGTCGGATAATCGGATGCAGTTGGTCATTCCTAGGAGCCGAGTGTCGGAAGTACTTGGATATGTACATGATGGATCTTCAGGGGGACATCTAGGAGTGAGGAAGACACTGCAGCGGGTACGAGAGCGGTTCTACTGGGTGAACTGCAGTGACGACGTCAGGGAGTGGTGCCGTAAATGCACCGTGTGCTTTGCCAGCAATGGGCCTCATCGTAAACCAAGGGCACCCATGAGACAGTACAATGTTGGAAGCCCTTTCGAGAGGATTGCTATGGATATTGCGGGGCCGTTTCCAGTGACTGACAATGGAAATAAATACATCCTTGTCTGCATGGACTACTTCACCAAGTGGGTGGAAGCGTATGCGATCCCTAACCAGGAAGCTGTAACTGTCGCCGATGTCCTAATGAATCAACTCATCAGTCGTTTTGGGGTGCCATTGGAACTTCACTCTGATCAGGGCCGGAACTTCGAGAGTGAAGTGTTTAAGAAGATGAGCGAGAAGTTAGGAATCAAGAAAACAAGAACAACTTCATTGCATCCACAGTCAGATGGCATGGTGGAGCGAATGAACCGAACCATAGGGAGGTATCTCTGCAAAGTCGTAGATCAACACCAACAAGACTGGGATCAACATCTTCCTTTCTTCTTGATGGCTTACAGATCTGCGGTACAGGAATCTACAGGGCAGACTCCGGCGAAGGTTCTATTTGGACGAGAGATGAGGCTTCCATGTGACTTGGTCTTCGGATGTAGACCTGGTGAGGACATAGTGGGGGAAGATTACGTCACGGATTTGATGAAAAAGATGAACGATATTCACGAATTGGTTCGTTCTAATCTGAAAATCGCCAGCGATCGCATGAAAGACCGATACGACATCAGAGCTGGAAGTGCAGGATACGCAGAAGGAGACCTGGTGTGGTTGTACAATCCACAAAGGAAACGAGGTATTTGTCCAAAACTACAGAGATCTTGGGAAGGACCTTATACCGTCAAGAAGAAGATCAACGATGTCATCTACCGCATCAGTAAAGAACCAAGTGGCAAACCAAGAGTCGTTCATTTCAACAGACTAGCACCATTCGAGGGAACACAAGATCAACAAGTTCAACAAATTTGTCCGGAAGAAAAGGAGCTTACATTCGACGAATTCATTGGGACATACAGTGGTTCATCAAAAGCAAGGTTTGGCGTCACCAAGGAAGAGCACCGCGACCTTTTTGCCATTCCTGTAGAATACGCACTAGCTCACTGCGTCGCCGAGGATCTTCAGATGTCTCAAGGAATAGCGAACAAGTTCATGAGGAAGTTTGGGAAGTTAGAGGAGCTTCGTCAACAAGGTCCCTCCGTCGGTCGAGCACTAGAAATAGAAGATATCAGCGCTGAAGGAAAAAGGTCTGTGTTTTATCTTATAACGAAAGCAAGATCTTCTGAGAAACTCACTTACAAGGACCTCTGGGAGACGCTAGTGGACTTGCAAAGCACCATACTCGAGAAGGACATACAGAAGATAGCTGTTCCAAAGCTGGGGTGTGGACTGGATGGCTTGAGGAGAGTCGTAAGGAACATGCTGGAGGTTGTATTTAGATTCACCGGAGATGAAATTCTGGTATGCTGCTGGAACTCCAAGGGAATTCCAAGAGATAAGACAGTGCCATGCTATTTCTACCATACTGCACGTTGTAAAAATGAAACCAGTTGTCCCTATCTTCATAACGATCGGAGTGCATTCCAGGAGGAATGCGTTTTAAGGAGGGGGCAGTGTAATGATATTTCCCTTGGAGGGGCTTTAGAAACATCAGCAGGAAGGCAGGAGTACAACGATCATCCTGTATCACGCATCCCAGATTGCTCTCCTACCTCCCAATGATTCCTACATGCACTAGCATATTTCCGAACACTCAATATATGCCGCGGTGACAGATACCGTCACAGAAGATTCTGGAATGTTCTGGAAACAATCGATGGAACAATTAGAGAGAGAGGTTTGTTCTAAGAAGCTTCTAGAACAAAAAGAATGAGACGGAAGAACATTCGAGAAGGTTCTCGAACCAAAGCCTGTCTATATAGTTATCTCATATATAAACGGCCGAATAACTGCCGTCAGTCAGTCAAACAGCGAGTGTCAGAGAGACAGTTATATACCGCGTGTTATAAATCGTTTTACATAAATAGTAGTTATAAGTTCGATATAAATTAGTGTTTCTTTAGTTTAAATAAATCAGTTGGAAAATAAATAGTGTCGTGTTCGCTTCTGCACCCGAATAACGTAACAATATGAACTTTTTTTATTATTTCAACAAGTACAACACCCTGCTGAATTTTTTGTATTACAAACCGGACCACCCTGTATAACATTTAAAATATTATTCAACGTTTCTGGCGTTATACTCTGAAATGCTTCTCTAGAACCAGTATTTTGAGTTATTCTTCTGTTTCGCTATAAACACAGTACTTGACATATCCCCAAAGAAAGAAGTCTGGTGGGGTCACATCGGGTGAACGAGCTGGCCAGGGCGATTCAGAGTACGTGCCACTCTTCATGTGGATCTGAGTGAGAATAATCTCCAGCAGCCCTCAATGGAATCAATAGTCCTGAACTTCTGCCAGTGGAAAATTGTCTAGGACTTCTCAAATATTATTTTAGAGTGAATTCAAATTCACATAATTATGAAAAAAATCAGGTCCGTATTCCAAAAATTTCTTGACGATGACCAAAATGAGCTCGATACACATCACAACCCCAATATGTAGCATATCATCAAAATCAGAATGGAAAGAGCTATTCGAATATATGATATCAAATCATCAGGACCTTATTTGAAAAATTGAAGTTGATGATGGTTGCTCAAGCAAAGGCGAAACGTTTGATCAGCAAACCAATGATGCCAAATTGAATGTCATCAATAGTTACCATCAATATATTCAGTCTTGTCATAAACTGCATTGTCAACGCCAGAAAAAAATCCGGAAATTGAGTTTTTTGGTAATAACCCAAAAACAAGAAGTCATATCAGAGATTTTCAAGAGTCATTTTATTGGTCATTCACTCATGCAACTTTCCTCCCGTTTGACAAAATCTGTATCCCTTGTAGTTTCTGAAATGCCCATATACTTGCCGTCCTTATATCTAGGGCACAGTGTATATATGGCTGGCTATTATTACTATGTTGTGTTCAATGATAAAATATTTTCAATAGAAGGAATATTATCAGTTTATCACCTCAGTAATTATCTCGGTAATTATAAAGCATCCATGCATGATCTACAATAAAGCATAGATGCGGCCAGTGTTAGAATACTGTTCTCACATATGAGATTCAACACCCAAACATACGATTATGCTCTTAGATTCCATCCAGAGAAGAGCCATTCGTCGGGTGGGTGATGCCACACTCACAAATACAAGTCGGCGACCATTCACTTTTCTATGGATACTTCCACGGAAAATGTTCCTCAGAAATATCTGCTATCATTCCATCATTAGCAATACAAGTCAGACGAACTCGAAAGGCCCAGTCAGCATATCCTTTCGTTGTCAACCTAGAAATATGTCGAACAACACACTACCAAAACTCGTTCATCTGTAGAGCGGCAAAGCTTTGCAACTCTTTGTCAATGGAAGTATTCCGAAGAATTTATTGTAACCTCCAAAAATTCAAAAGGAATTCCAACACCTACCTCCTATCCCTATCCTCCCTGCACGATGATTTTCGAACATTATAGGAATTTCCTTTCGTGCGCTCCCAAATAATTTCATAGAATTGAAACAAGTGATGCAAAAACTATGAAAAAACTATAAATTTATTATTGACTCAACTTCAACTATTATAATGCTAATTCATTCATGTACAAAAAATTTGAATGTAGGTAATTCAAACCTTCTAAATATCAAATTTTATCCTATCACATAATCTAAATGCAGTTTTGAAAGGAAAAATACAAAATTTCTTAGGGCAACTTTCATCATATAGGTACCTGGATTCTAATGAATTATTTCTTATCCCCATCACTCTTCCTGTCTACAGCCATTGCTGGTTCTCCAGTCTGGGTTACAGGAATATTCTTGTATTCCACTGCAGTTCCATCAAGTCGTGGGGCACTCACCGACAAAACTCCATCAGAAGACAACTTCGACTCTATTCTACTCATGTCATAGTTCTTTGGAACCTTGTATCTTCTCACGAAATGCCTGTAAATATACCCGTGTTCATCCTCTTTCTCTTCGTGCTTTCCCTCGATGGTGATGTCATTTTCTCCAGTAACTTTCACAGTTATTTCTTCGGGTTTGAACTGCTGCACATCAAGGTTTGCAAGAAATCTGTCATTGCCATAGGTGACAGTGGAACCACTGTCTTTCTCAGAGGCAGCAGGTGTCCAGTTACGAATGTATCCAGCAGGACATCGGAGAAGCATCCTGGGTAAGACTTGAGGCTGCAAGAGGTCTTCTGGTTCCAGGACGAGTCCAAAGTGTTGATCCATCATCCTGGATGGTCTACTGAAGTAGGCATCGTTCAACAAGTAGGGTAGTAGAGACATTTTGGACGATTTTTGACTAATTTCAAATGAAACAATATCGAGCACTAGATACTTTAGTATGAGAACTACTCGATGACGCTATAGCTAGCAAAATCTTGCAATTTCCAACTTTCAACTTCACTTCGAAACCACTTCAAAGTGTGATTGACAACAGCTGACAATACGAATTACTAACAATTGGCGTGCTATCCATCAGCTGTCTCGGTTTTTATACAGGGTATGTCACGACGAGCTCACACTATCTCTATATCGAGAATCATTCGGGAAAAATCCATGAAAATATGCATACTCATATTTTAGAATACGCTCTTTTTATTCAAAATATATTCAGCAATGCAGTGTTTCCGCTGCTTGGAGTCTATCGGTAATGACTACAAAGATATATAGAGTGTTCAAAATCGAGATTTTTCAACTTTATGACGTTTGTGTCTAAACCATTTATTATCGGCCAAAATGGCTCACATGTCACTATCCCAACTTTTGATTTTCACTATTAACTGATATTTAATCGTAAAAGATACTGTTGCGTAACGAACTATAACGAATTACGAGGGAAGGTTGGAGATTAGTAGACTCACCAGAGTGGACTGTATCGTGATGTGTAATGGACTTGGATGTTCTCGTCCGATGTAGATGCGGTAGGCCTACCTTTCAGCTCCTGTTTCCTCGACTGTCTATTTTAATGATTCTATCACTGGACATCCATTGATACACGATTTGTAGCACTAGCGAAAAAATGTTTAACAAAAGGAACTAGTATTTTGCAAGAACCACACACAAAAGCTGCCGGTCACTCGTCTTTCGATGACTATATCTGTTCGTCCATGTGTCTATCCCACCAACCTTCTCAGACACGCGCTTTTTCATACAATCTCTATATACGCGCATTATTGGTACCGTAAGACGGGGTGACTTCGGACGATTTTTCAGGTTTTTCCGTCGTGACATATTTGAAATGAATCGAGAATGTACAAATGTCTCATAGATTATTGATTAATCATTTCTTAATGGATTCACACATATTATACCGAATGCAGAATTAGTTTTTCTATATTTTAATTTTTGATTTTTTGCTGTCCGAACTTACCCCGCAGTGTGGGGTAATTTCGGACACGCTTCAAAAACCCGTTAAAAACGATTATTAGAGTGTCTATAATTAACTTCGGACAGAAAAATTTTTTTAAAAAAATATTTCGAGGTAGAAACCATACTCAATTTCAAAATAAAAGCATATTCTACAACTTCGAAAATATATTTCGATGAAAATAACAAAAATATGAATAATGATTCCTTAAAACTGAAAAAAACTTTAAAAAATAATAACAAAACAGTTCTCCTTGGTACATGAGAATAATTTGGTATATGCTGTCTATTGAAAATCTCTGATATGACTTCTTGTTTTTGGGTTATTACCAAAAAACTCAATTTCCGGATTTTTTTCTGGCGTTGACAATGCAGTTATGACAAGTCTAAAAGAATATCTTGATGGTAACTATTGATGCCCTTCAATTTGGCATCATTGGTTTGCTGATCAAACGTTTCGCCTTTGCTTGAGCAACCATCATCAACTTCATTTTTTCAAATAAGGTCCTGATGATTTGATATCATATATTCGAATATAGCTCTTTCCATTCTGATTTTGATGATATGCTACATATTGGGGTTGTGATGTGTATCGAGCTTATTTTGGTCATCGTCAAGTAATTTTTGGAATACGGACCTGAATTTCTCATAATTATGTGGAAGAGTTATTTGAATTCACTCTAAAATAATATTTGAGAAGTCCTAGACATTTTTCCACTGGCAGAAGTTCAGGACTGTTGATTCCATTGAGAGCTGCTGGAGATTATTCTCACTCAGATCCACATGAAGAGTGTGGCACGTACTCTGAGTCGCCCTGGCCAGCTCGTTCACCCGATGTGACCCCACCAGACTTCTTTCTTTGGGGATATGTCAAGTACTGTGTTTATAGCGAAACAGAAGAATAACTCAAAATACTGGTTCTAGAAGCATTTCAGAGTATAACGCCAGAAACGTTGAATAATATTTTAAATGTTATACAGGGTGGTCCAGTTTGTAATACAAAAAAATTCAGCAGAGGGTGTTGTACTTGTTGAAATAATAAAAAAAGTTCATATAAACATATACTTTTTTAAAATATATTTTTTCGATAGGAGTTGCGGGGACTTTTTCGGTAGCCAAATCGTTTTTATAAGGTCTGTTTGAATGATTTCTATTTTATGTCATCGCAGCAGTTTTTCATTTACACCCTTCAATTATTTTTTTATGTGTACCTATATATAAAAGGTTGATTTTGAAATATTTCTGTTTTCGATAGGGGTTACAGAGATTGTTGCTATGGTCAATTAGTTCATTGGGTATGTTAAAATGATTTTTACTCTATGTCGTCGCAGAGCAGTTCTTCACAATACCCTCAACACATTTTTTTTGTGTTTGATGGAGGCTTGAAAATATAACATGTGCTCCGCCACTGGGTCTTCAACAATGTTCGGAGATTTTGGCTGCTATCTTTGGCTACCATCTTCACACAGCTGTGTTTTGTGGGATATCTCGCTTCGCTCGTCCCATTCGTCCCGCCCAATCTCATATCTCATATAAGTACAGTATGATGCAAATGTATGGAATAAATTCATTTCAAAACAAGACGACTATCATAAAAAAACCAAAAAGTAGAGTTCAGAACTTTTTTTTCGACGTATTTTTTTAACTAGACGACCCTTCGATGTTCAATTCTCAGTAGCAGACCCCTGCAAGATTCAATTAATCACATGATAATCCATTTTAATTCCAATTAATCTTCTTATGCAATATTTTGACTGTTGAATAGACGATCGGTAGACCTTTCAATCAAGGTGTCACATGACCCCTAGCTATTTGTATTTGAAAAAATCGTCAGGTATTGTTATTTCGCCGATCACAACACAAAATATTTCACAAAACAGTAATTTTTCCGCCAATTATTTTGATGAATAAACAATAAAAGAATTCGGGACAGTTTCAAAAACATACGTGAATCACCGATGAATTAACACGAACTGACGCGTTAGTCGACAAGCGATAAAATAAAACACTGGCCTCTCTTGGTGACGTCACGAGCTGTTTACGTCAGAGTCTGCTGGCCTTGTTGTATCGGTGGTAACGGACATACCCTGTATACTTGATTAGCCGATTCATTGTACCGATTCTGGATAGAATTTATAGATACCCATTCTAGAATGTTCGGCGTGATTCGGCAGTTGTTCGAGAGCGATCGATCGTTGATAACGCGAAAGCAGAAATGTGGTTCATCGGATATTAACCTTCACGATGGATGAATAATATGAACATCATAGTATACAGCTCAGAGCTATATTATGTGCCTATACAGGGTGTTTCTTTGGGAAACGGAAATACTTTAACGGTGGATATATAGAGGTGACCAAGGTGGTTCTGAATATACCATATATGTTGGGTCTTAAATGTTCGATTATCGAGATATAGGGTGTTTTATCAATTCTGGTCATTTCTTTGAAGGCTGATAGCATACGAACCATTGTTAGGAGGGGGGGGATGTGATAAAAAACGTATTCCATCACTTCCGGTCCTACCGCGGAAGCGATCATAATATAAATAATTGGTAATAGTAATTGAAATCTGTAGCCTCTAGTAGGTCCATTTCAGGGTGACAGTGACATTCATGATATTTTATATTTTTTAGGCTGCAAGTTTATATTGCATGTTTGAAAAATTCGCGCGATGCTGCTCGTGTGTATAGAAACAAAATGGGCATCGATTTGAGCATTTATTGTAATTACTCATATATTCTTTCGCTTCATCAATTCAATCATTCTGTTTTTATAGCTACCTACTACTGAAGAAAGGGAGTGACGCGGAGTTATAGGTACTTTTAACATTTTTGTTCCACACAAAAAGCAACTGAAATGTCTTAGATCATCATCATTACCTATTCATAGCCACTGTTAAAAGACACAAACCAATTAAAACAATTGAAACATTTTCCAAAAATATACTGGGGGTCCTATCTGAGAATGAGAATTAGAAATCGGTTCCGGTTAGACCGGAAGTGATGGAATACGTTCTTTTCGTCAATAAATGAACAATATATGGTATACTTAATTGCTACTCACCAAATCTCAAATTTCGATCTCCAATGATTCTGAAGTGATAGACCGCAGCTGGCCGTTTTTTGTGCACTTCTTTATGTAAAAATATAACAAAAATGGTATAAAAGTGCACTTCATCATGCGATGGTTTTTTTTTTTCAAAAATTTCGTTTGGTACTTACGTAGTTTTGTCTGAAAAACACGAATTCCAAAATGTGAACAAACCGCTATTTATCGAGATATTGGATGAAAAAGTGCGAAAGGATACCGCACACTTTAATAGGGAAAGTGGCCCCCTGTCGAATTGGCTGAATTTTTGATATAGTCCAAGTCATTCTAAACAAAAAGTTCAATGGGCAAAACTTCTTCTATAGGCTAGTTTTGGCGCTAGAGGCACTTTCATTTGTTCTTCATTGTTATACAACACGGAACGGTATTTTGGGTAATAATCACTATTCTGCATCATCAAGATCTAAACAGTCATCAATATCAGATACTATCGGAAGTATTTTTCTTCGGTGTTGTTATATTTGGTCAATTATACAGTGTGTTCTACCTACTTATTACAACTTCCAAAGTTCAATAGGGTAGAGTGGGGGAATACCGGACATGGAGGAAATACCGGCCATAGATTTTCTCGGTATTCTGATCTCTTGCGAACTACCGAACAAACCACACGCCACTGTCTGATCGCGTACGGCACTCATCTCGAGTTTCACAGTTGCAAGTGAACGTGTTTTTTTGTTATCGGGAATTTTCTCAAAAAACACTCCTCGTTATAAGGAACAAGTATTTTCAGAGGTATGTATCAATTAGTCAGTAAGTGCTGGAATAGTGAAAAAAATATGCATAGACTTAGGAGAGCTAGATATATCATGATATTGCTGTTCATCAACAATAACCTCACATATATTTTTGAAAAAAGAGTTTCACTTGAACAACGCATATGGGGGAATCCCGGCCATGCTCTTGCGGGTAATAGCAGCCTGGCCGGCATTACCCCTGAGGAAATCAAATTCAACATATTATTATTATTTTCAGATGCCGCGGAAATACGTGAGGAAAACTAAGAAAGCTCCTTGGACTACGGAATGTTTGCAAGCTGCTATGAATGCTTTGAACGAGGTTGCAAGAAGATTTGGTATTCCAAGAGCGACTCTACAAGATAGACAGAGAAACCACAATATTTCAAAACCGAAGCTTGACGTTCACCAGTTTTTTTCTGTGAAAATCACGTGAGATCAATTGCTAACAGTGCAT